CTCTGCAACATCTATGAAAAATGTAGATTCTACCTATTTGATAGGTGAAGTTCTAGTCATGAATTTTCGAATTGTGGCTTAGTTTGGTTTGCGTCAAAGAAGCACGAAATATTTTGAGATTCCATGGGCAAGCTTGAGGTCGATGGTAGAGCCGACGTTTGGGGACCGATCGCTGATCAACCATAGAGACTACCTCCCTAATGCTCGGGTCGTCACGTCAAAGGCGATCAAAATCACCGAATCAGAAGTATTGATAGCCGATGGCCACTTATTTGCTTATGATTATCTTGCCATTGCTACGGGTCACCAAGATCCAATTCCCACAACCAAAACTGAGAGACTGAAACAATTTGAGGCAAGTACAGGGAAGCTGCTAAAGCATAGTTGAGATAAGTGAGTTTATGTATATTGCCTTACTCGAATGAGAGCTACAAGTCCCTTTATATAGGGCAAAGGTGAACAGTAAAATGAATAGTAAACCCTATGAACAGTAAACCCTAAATTATATAGTATATCTAACATCCCCCTACAAACTCAAGGTGAGTTAAAACAAGTCAACTGGAGTTTGGAGAGAAGATCCATGAAGCGCCCAAGTGGATGTATCTTTGTGAAGATATCGGCAGTCTGATCGGCTGATGAAGTAAAAACAAGTTGGAGAGTGCCACGAAGAACATGGTAGCGGATGAAGTGACAATCTATCTCAATGTGTTTGGTACGTTCATGGAAAACATCATTATGTGCACTCTGGATAGCACTGCGATTGTCGCAATGAAGGATTGTCCCGCTATGATGACGGACTCCCATATCTTCTAGTAGCCATCGCAACCATAATAACTCCGATGTGGTATTAGCAAGAGCTTGATATTCAGCTTCGGTACTAGAACGAGCAACAGTGGGTTGTTTCTTGCTACGCCAGGAGATAAGTGAGGTGCCCAAGAAAAAACAGTAACTCGTAGTGGAGTGACGATCTTGAGGGTCACCACCCCGGTCAGCATCTGAATAGGCTATCAACTCCAATGTAGAATGAGCAGAAAAGTGAAGGCTATGAAATAACGTTCCCTTGACATAGCGAAGAATACGAAGAACTGCAACAAAGTGAGTCGTACAAGGTGTTGTCATGTACTGACTGATAATATGAACAGCATAAGCGATGTCAGGGCGAGTAACAGTGAGATATATAAGACTGCCCACTAGCTGTCGATAGAGAGTAGGGTTTTGGAGAGGAGTCCCATCACTGACATCAAATTTTGCATTGGTCTCAAGAGGGGTCGTAACGACCTTGGTGTCCGTGAGTCCTGCTCGAGAAATAAGATCAGTGGCATATTTGGCTTGCGAAAGATAATAACCGGAAGCGTTTGAGGTAACCTCCAAGCCTAAAAAATAACTAAGTTGCCTAAGATCCTTCATCTCGAACTGTTGGCTAAGATAATGCTGGAGTTTTAAAATTCCGGTACGATCATCGCCAGTAATAACCATATCATCCACATATAGGAGCAGCAGAATAGACCCATAAGAAGTATGTCAAACAAAAAGTGCATGGTCATATGGAATAGATTTAAAACCAAGGGATGCCATTGTGGAGCTAAACTTGGAATACCATGCACGAGGAGATTGTTTCAATCCATATAATGCACGACGTAATTGACACACTTGGTGGGAGGAATGAGTGTAGCCAGGAGGAGGTACCATATAAACTTCCTTGGTGAGATCGCCATTTAGGAATGCATTTTTGACATCCATCTGAAATATGGACCAATGCTTAACAGCGGCGACAACAAGAAGACTGCGAACAGAAGTAAGACGTGCAACGGGGGCAAAAGTTTCTTCATAGTCAATGCCATATTCCTGAGTGAATCCTTTTGCAACGAGGCGAGCTTTATAGCGGTCCACAGTACCATTTGCTCTTATCTTAATCTTATACACCCATTTACAGCCGACAGTGGACTTACCAGGAGGCAAATCAACTAAATCCCAAGTATGAGATTTGTGTAAGCTTGTAACTCATCTGCCATTGCCTTCTGCCAAAGAGGGTTAGTACTAGCTTCTCTATATGTGCGAGGTTCATAAAGGGAAGCTATTGTAGAATAACAATGGTAATCTCGAATCCGAATAGAAGGTTGACTTACTCTGGTGGGACGACGATCAGACGAGGAAGGAATGGCCGGTGGTGAAGAATCCGCGGAAGGTGCAGACACGTCAGAAGTGGCCAAAGTGGGGTCACCAGAAGGCCCTGCTTCAAGATGAGGTAAAGATACATCTGGAATGGAAGAGTCAGATGTGGACGGAAGTGTGGTATCTTCTGGAAATAAGTCTACAGAAGGATTGGTAAAGAAAGGAACATGAGCAGAGGAGTCGAAGGGATGAATAGAAGAGAACATCTTGTGTTCCCAAAAAGTCACATGGCGGGACACACGAAGACGGTTAGAAGTGGGATCCCAACATCTATACCCTTTTGTGCTTAATGCCATATCCAAGGAAGCAGCATACATGGGCACGGGGTTCTAATTTCATGCGCTCATGTGGATGAAGGTGCACAAAACAAGCACTACCGAAGACGCGTAGAAGAGTATAATTTGGGACACTACCATACAAACGCTCATAAGGAGAGATGTGATCAATAATAGGTGATGGAGTACGATTTATAGTGTAAACAGCAGTGTGACAAGCTTCTCCCCAAAACCATTCAGGACAAGAGGCAGAGATGAGCAGAGTGCGTACAACATCTAAGATATGCCTATGCTTACGTTCAGCTCTACCATTTTGTTGAGAGGTGCCTGGGCAAGAGTGATGAATGATAGTACCATTTTGAGAAAGAATTATAAGAAATTCTATATCTCTATATTCCATAGCATTATCAATGCGAAAAATCTTAATATCCTGTGAAAATTGGGTTTTAACCATGGCAATGAAATCACGATAAATACGACAAAGTTCAGAACGATTTTTCATAAGATAAAACCAGGTACACCGAGAATGGTCATCCACAAAAATAACAAAATAGCGAGAGCCACCCATAGTGGGAGTGGGAGATGGTCCCCATATATCTGAGTGAATGAGATCAAAAGGAACATGAGAAACAGAATCACTAGTCTGAAAAGGTAAAGCATGATGTTTTCCATCTTACAAGGCAGACAATCAAAATGTGTAGTATCAACAGAACCTAAATGACTACTTGAAATTAAAGAGTTTAACCTAGAAGAGGAAGCATGACCTAACTGAGAATGCCAAGTTTCAGATGACACTGTGGCAGCACAAGCAGCAAAAGTGGTTGGGACATTTAGGGAAACAAGTTCAAAGAGATGCCCCACTTTACGGCCTGTCCCAAGTGTTTGTCCCGTCCGAGGATCCTGCACATGACAACCATGAGAAGAGAAGTGAATATCAAGACCAAGCTCACACAATTGGTCGACAGAGATCAAGTTGAGTGAGAGTTTAGGAACCAGGAAGGTGTTAGTTAAAGATAATGTAGATATGGAAATGTTCCCTGTATGACTAACTCTCATATGTGAATTATCGGCAGTAAGAATATGAGGTGCATGTGAAGCGGAGGATTTAGACTGAAATAAGGCAGAGTTGGATGTCATGTGATTGCAACAAGCAGAATCAAAGAACCAAGAATCAGAAATACCTGGAGCAGTAGACATAGCAGAAGTGCTAGGAATAGGAGGAATAAAGGTACCAGATTCTCGGAGAACGGTGCGAAGATCCTCTAGGGACACTAGTGTGGGGGACGATCCATGGGAAGAAGCTTCGACAGTGGCAGCATTGGCAGATGGACGAACAGAGGAACCTCGGCTACGAGGTTGAGTGATCGATCCTGTGGGTTGCATAGGTCGTAGCCGATAACAATTTGATGCCAGATGACCATGTCGGCAATAGTGTTTGCAAAATGGGCGGCGCATGGAGGAAGAACTCGAAGTGGCAAGTACTGCATTCGTAGGTATAGATATGGGCACAGTAGAACGTTGCGTTTTCAAAGTAGCCAGCCGAGTCTCCTTATTCAGTAAATCTAATATAACTGTCTCAATAGAAGGAAAATGATCTCTATGTAGAATGGAGGCTCTCACAGGTTCAAACTCATCATTCAGAGCCATCAAAAATTGCATGACACGAATACGATCACGATGTTCAGCAACTCTACGAATATTTCCATCCCCTTCCAAGCGCGGTTCACATAAGGTCAATTGATCCCAAATAGCATGCATGGATGATAAAAAATCATTAATGGACTGACCTGGCTCCTGATGCATGTGATATAAAGTCTCTAACAACCGATATTGATGGGCAACATCTGAACTAGAATAACGATGATCAAGAAGATCCCAAGCTTCCTTTGCCGTATTAAAAAGGCCAAACTGGAGTCGGATAGATGTGATCGAAGTGTTTCGAAACCATGTGAGAATCTGATGATTTTTGCTATCCCATTCATCCAAATGATCCACAAATTTATCATCAGTTTCTTCAGCAATTCTAGTAGGTTCACTAATATCTCCAGTGACATAACGCCAAAGCTGGTGTCCTTTCAAGAAACTTGATATTTCTTGAGACCATAAAATATAATTGGAACCATTCAAAATAGTCTGAATTGGCATTGAGACTTCCATTCTATCCAAGATAGGCACTTTACTACTATAGAATCAGCAGAATATAGTATACTGAGAGCAGATATGGGAAAAATAACACCAAAAACGAACTCAGGACGTCGGAATACCTCAAGAACCAATCGGAGAACACTGAAAACCGGTCAGGAAATGGTCGAACTGGCCGGAAAAGAGATGGAACCGGTCTGGTCTGAATCGGTCAACGGTCGGTCAACGACGGTCAACGCAGGTCAACGGTCGGTCAAATGGATGACGTGTCGATGACGTGGTAGATGACGTGTCGGTTGATGTGGTGATGACGTGGCACGTGACGTCAGCAACTCCGGAGTCGTTGGCGCGTGCAGGAGCGTGCAGCTGGGCGAGGCGCGTGGATCTCATGCGCATAACTTCGAGCGGCGCATGAGGGCGCGTCCGAAGGAGGAATGCGGTGAAACTTCACTAGACGACTCGACTGGGGGCAGCGAGTCGTGGGTTGGTGTTGGTTTTTGGAAAAAACGCGGCGGAGTATGTCCAAATAATCACCATCGATTAGCGGTGGGCTACCTGGGTCCGAGGCGTGGTGGCGCATGGCGGTGCGTGCAGCGGCGTCAGGCTACTGTTGGTGATGAAATTTCAAGACGTGGGTCGTTTGAGGTCGGCGAGTCTGCTGGTGGTCGCGGTTTTCCGAAATGAGCAGGGGAAGTATGCCGAATAGTGACGAAAAGCTTCGGTCTTGTCAGAGAACCGAGGCGGCGCGGCCGGTGCGGCTGGCGTCGTGGCGGCCACGGTGTGGCAGACTCGATGGGCGCTCCTCAGGAAAAATAGCTTTGATACCAAGTTGAGATAAGTGAGTTTATTTATATTGCCTTACTTGAATGAGAGCTACAAGTCCCTTTACATAGGGCAAAGGTGAAAAGTAAAATAAATAGTAAACCCTACTAACAGTAAACCCTAAATTATACAGTATATCTAACAAGCACGAACAAGTATAGCACTATCAGTCATTTATGTTCTTGTTCTGTTGACTTCTGTTCCAGTCTGAATCTGTTACTTGCAGATGATCAAAACATAAAATCAGCTCGATCAATTTTGATCATCGGTGGTGGCCCGGTGGGTGTTGAACTCGCTGCAGAAATTGGCGTCGATTTCCCGGACAAAAAAATCACTCTCATTCACAGCGGATCGAGGTTGATGGAATTCACTGGACCGAAGGCTTCGGAGAGAACTCTAGATTGGTTAAGGACAAAGAACGTGGATGTAAAATTGGAGCAACTGGTCGATTTGAACTCTTTATCGGATGGAACGTACACAACTTCCCACGGAGAAACTATCGATGCAGATTGCCATTTTTTATGCACGGGAAAGCCGCTTGCTTCTTCATGGCTCAAGGAGACATTCTTGAAGGAAAACCTGGATCGATTTGGAATATTAATGGTTGATCAGTGTATGACAGTTGAGGATCGTGACAACATATTTGCGGTTGGAGATATTACTGAAGTTCGGGTAAGTTCAAAATGCGGATTACTCCGCTCAAGTTCGTTTCCCCAAGAAGTAGACTTCAACACATTCAATGTCAAAATCGCTGACAGAAACGGTTATGTAACATGACAACAGGAGATAAGGCAAGGTTTTTTGGCACAAAAGCACGCGACGGCCGTGAAGAAATTGAAGCTGTTGATGGATGGAGGCAAAGAAAGCGAGACGGCCGTTTACGAGCCTCGTTCAGTAAAAGCCATCGTCTTGCTCGGAAGGAAACAAGCAGTGGCACAGTTCTTGCTCCCGACCATCATTGGGAGGATTCCCGGCATGATCAAGTCTAAAGACCTGTTTGTCGGGAAAACAAGGAAGCTGATGGGCCTAAAACCTTACATTGTGTACTCTTGAAGTTTTTGGCACTCTCAGTACTTACCTATCTTCATCTTTGATTCATTCATTTCATCACTTCCTTTTAAAGAGAACTTTCGAATTGAATGTGACGGTGTGGTACTACGGCAGAACAGTGTTGTGCAACACTCTTTGACATCAATCTTTGGCAAAGTTAATGCACAGGGTTGTTCCTGAAAAACTGCTTATATCATTCTTGAAGGTCATAGGTCAGCCAATTCTGGCATAACCCTTCTTTCTTGGATTCAACTTTTCTCTCTCTCACTCTCTCTATAGGAAAAACAAAAGAGAAGAAGAAACCCTCTTCCATATAAGGCCTGCTTCTAAAAGAGCCGAGGACCAAAGTTCAGGAGGAATGTACAATCATCTCGGCTCTATGGAAACCACCAAGCAGATAAACAAAACCAAACAAGAAGCTCAGGCCGATTAGGACACCGTTAGACCTGTTAAATGAGTCTTAAAACCCATATATGACCCATTTAAAAAATAAATGGGTCATAAATGGATTAACATAACTTTAAAAAGTCTATCTTAAATGGATCTTAAAGTTTTAAGCCTATCATAAATGAGTTTTAATGGATTGAGTGTGGAGTCCATTTCCAACCCACTCATTAAGCCTACCCCTTTTTATAAACATATATATTTTTTAAATCGAAATTTTTTTATTTTTCTTTTCTTTTTTTTTTTCTCTTCTTTTCTGCCGGTGGCCGGCCATCAGCTATCGGCCACCGGCCACAGGGGAGGAACAAACTCGCTGCAGGTCGGCGAGGCCTCGGGCTCATCGGAATCGGGCGAGCTCGGCCTCGCCGGCCTGTGGCAAGGCCGGAGCCTTGCCAATCTAGCGAGACTCGAGGTCGCCGATCTGGCAAGGCCTTGGGCTCCCCTGCCTCAAGCGAGGTCGAGCTCGCCCGAGGCCAGCGACCTCGAGTCTCGCCAGATCAACGAGGCCGAGCTCGCCCAATTTTGGTGAGCCCGAGGCCTCGCCGATCTGGCGAGACTCGAGCTCGCCGGCCTCGGGCGAGCTCAACCTCACCAGATCCGGCGAGCCTAAGGCCTTGCCAATCTAGCGAGACTCGAGCTCGCCCGAGGCTAGCAAGGCTCGGCTCGCCGGAATCGGGCGAGCTCGATCTTCGCCGGGCTCTAGCGAGCTCATCCTCATCCGTGGTCGGCCACTGGCCAAAAATAAAGAAAAAATTACAAATTAAAAATAATTAAAAATTGCATTTTAAAAAATAAAATAATTAAAAATTGTATTGTACGAAAATGTTTTAGTAGTATAATTTTTAAAAAAAGTCATAAGAAATAAGTTTTCCTATATTGAGTTAAATATAGAAGTGTTTTAGCAATATGGGTCAGGTTGGGTATGGGTCGGGATATTTACATTAGAAATAAATGGGTCATAAACGGGTTAATGGGTCAATTTGGATCGGACCATTTATGACCCAATCCCAACCCAACCTGACCCGACCTATCCGTTTAACAAGTCTAGACACCATACACAAGCCATCGACCAATGATCACAATGGTTCTTCTCTCTGAGGGCTCTGAGCTTCCTGCTTGAGGTTCTGCCTTCTCTGCAGAGTAATCACTGGCCTTTATCTCCGGCGCTATCGTACTGGAGCTCTCTGGTTTTTGCCTCCTCAGTCTGACTCTTCGATTTGCGGTGCCCTGGAAAGGAGGGATCGGGGACATGAAATCTTGCACTAGATTTTGCGAGTCTTGAGACATTAGCACGGCCACTGGATTGATTGGAACAGTAGGCAGAATGTTGCGAGTTGCAGAAACAGAAGACTCATCTAATTTGACAATGTCATCTTTCAGTATATCTGCGTAAAAGTTTTCGTTGCCATCGCAATACTGAATGGTAGAACAGGGGAAATAGATTTTAGTCAGTACAATATTAGCTGACTATTTGTAGACCAGCTCCACCTAAAACTGACTAAAAAATTTCAATCCCATAATTTGGACAAATACTCATGACTAAAAATGGCTGCAAATGAGGGAGGAGGTCCCGTTGCTGAAACAAGTAAACCACAAGGCCATAGCAAACTTTGGTGTTGCAAAATATTAACTTCTTGAAACGAAATGAACCTTTTGATGGGTGGAATTGGAGCTGGAATGAATTTGCTCAGCAGAGTGTGAATTGCAACTGCCAGAGCACTTCCTCGCGTAACCATCAGCCAAGTTGTCTCCTTCAGAGACATCCGTCCGGTCAACATCAGAAGTTTGCATTAGATCAGAGGCACTGTTCATATGGAACATATTGCTTCTTCGCAGGTGGCAGATAACTAGAGAACCCTGCTGATTTGAACGGGGGGATGCAGACGCACGAGACAATTCAGTCGTTTTTTAAAGGTATTAGAATCTTTAAGTAGAAGACAATTGCTTTACCTCTGCGAAATGTACACACATTTTGGTGTCAGTAACACTAACATCACAGAGACTCATAGAGGGCCAGAGACTAGGATAAGGTCGATGCAATAGATAAAGGCTCAAAATCAAACGCTATTACCTGGGACCTTGCATTCATCGAGTACTCATGCATGATCCACTCTGTCCTTTTCCCATTCGGCGCCCGACCCAGGTGGAAGACGAGGGTTCTCTTTGTACCGATCACGATGGAACTGGACTTCACGCTACGCTCTTTCCCTGTGGCTTTCTAGTATCCATGTTTGGTCGCTCTCTTACTCTGTGACCCCTTAGGATACTTCCTGCCGCGAACAGAGAAGAAGAACCCCTCGCTCTCCGAGGGCATGATCGATTTGGCTGATCATAGAGCAACCAACTTTCAACGAAGCAAGCCTAATATAAGGGACAAAAGGCTACAAAGTTTGCACTACAGAGTAGTGCAACCATTAACTCAGTGAAGCAACAAAGAACCAAAATTCCCTACAGATCAGCTCCAGTGAACTATGTACTGAATCCGAGTCGGTAAATTGTGTGTGATATTGTTGGAGTTGGTGAATACTTCGGGGACCTTTGTTTCTCATACCAGGCATGCCCACGTGAGCTTAGGGAAACTGAAGTATGAATCGACAACATGTGACCCCTACGCACAGAATGTCGGGGGTCCCGTTGCCTTGACATCGAGCGGGGGTTCCACTCTCCGGTGAGCGGACGAGGGCTCGGGGGTAGCGCCTCCGAAACAACATCGGGTTTGTTGACCCGTTTGTTGTGGGATTAAAGGGATTTGGATAGGCTTGGGCTTTAGGCTCATTTTAAGTCCTATATATATTGTACTCGTATGAAAGATGATTGTAACGAGTGACTGTGGTTGTAAAACCTAAATATCATAATAGAATCCATTTGCAGGACGTAGCCCTATTCTGGGGTGAACCTGGGTAAACTCGTATGTTAATTTTTCTATTATCTGTGTGATTATTTTGATTCTGTTTCGGATATAACCCATCAGATACACGCATCCAACGTTAGAAATCAATGGAAATTCTAAGTCCAACAAAATTCTTAGATACCGTCCGAAGAGTTTCCATTTCAAAACAATTACTAGACAGTGATCTTTCAGCACAGGAACCAGTCATGTTGTCAAGATCTTAAACGCAAACCGCATCCTCTTCCCATCGAATTCCAAGTTCAGTTGGCAAAACCGTTTTCTCCAAAAGTATACACACATGGGACGAGGCTTACATTGGGTGCAATTTTTTCAAAAACAGAACCATGTCCGTATACCAAGAACACGAGTCGCATGCACTCCAATTTCTTTTCCCCCTAACACGAACCGCAAACACACGCACAGGCGACAAGAACACCGGAATTAGAGCACGGATGAAGGGAGCGTCAAGACCAACTGGGCAAGTCCCAGGGCTCATGGGCAGAGATGTCCACCTCGGGAATGAGTTGCTCGACGCTCTTGTCGAGGCCTTCGAGCTTCTTCGTCAAGTAGTACGCGATGAGTTCGGCATCAGACGGCGAGAACTTGAAGCCCGGATACATTGACGCTGCGTCGGCCATGGATATGATCCGCCCCTCCGTTCCGTCGGTGCACACGCCGTCCATCTTCTCCCACGTTAAGCTCGAACTGGGTCGGTTCGTTTCGTGCAGTTAATCGTCGAGAAAGAACAGAACAGAACAGAACAGAGCGGTCTCATTTGCAGGTCGCCATCTTCATCACAGAGAGTAGCTCCTCGGGACGTGCAAGGTGTCTCCTTTTTCCCACCAGCTTGCTAGCATAGTTGAAGCGGCGGGTAGTGGACCCAGGTGTGACTCCCTTCGCACGTGAGAGCTCCTCCCAGGGCACGACCGTCACGTTCCACGCCCGACCGTCTATTTGTTCCGACACTGGAAACCGAACTCCAGCGACCAGGGTAAAATTGATCTACGAACAATCTGATTAATCTTGCTTGGATTATGCGAAACCTGTAAGTCTAATGCCTATTTGAAGCTAAACAGCGTGTATATATGGGCTCGAAATATGTCTACTTCTCCCGAATCGTATAGGCTTTAGATACTTTCTCGTTATTTTCGGACTTGATTTTGTGCAACCGATTGGTTTGAGAAGTTCAAGAGAATGTTGCAATCTGCTGCTGATATCATGACTTTCATTTCTCGACGAAGATGACAGAAAGTGTCAAGAAATCTTACTAAACCGTGTTAGCAAGCGAAAGGTTGAAGCAGATTGTTCAGACTTTTGGCTCGAGATTGAATTTAGGGTCACATCATCCGATGAATCTAATTCATCTTGTCCTGGGTTTGAAATTCAATGTCCGTTCATTGGGTTTGACATTAAGAGCAGAACCGAACACAACTAAGGAAGCAAAACCCGAATGATCGCCGCTGGCTGGTGGCGGTTCTGTCATCAGCAAGATGAAAAGGGCCACAAAGAAGGACATACCATGCATACAGGTCGGAGTTAATCAAATACGAGCAGCGCTTGTTCATCAGATTAGAAAGGGTACATAGAGTTTCATAGGGGGGGGGGGGGGGGGGCAAAACAAGATGAGGGATGGATTTGCCGGGAAATTTCTGGGTAATTTACAAGAAGATTACACATGAAATATGATAATGTCTACTGGTTTCTTCAAAAGTACTCCTCGGTCCTCCCCTTGAAGCCGATTTGGCCGAACGTGAGGCACAAGAACAGACCCAGGTGCCATAAGAACAGCCACAACCTGTTCATCCATCAGATTCGCCCCAAAAAATCAATCATTTTTGCAGATGTGCGCATATCAAACGCCTTAAATCTACCAAAGTCAACTGTCAAAATGGTCCAAGCTTGTGGGATTTTGACTGATCGATTGAGCAGTTAAAGCTTCGGCGTTTATTTGCAATGAATCGGTTTGTGTGTATGTAATTATGGACTCACCAGAATGGGGAAGTGAGCGGGGGACCCGTGGGGAAGTGAGCGAGCTCGGTCCCGATGCTTTCGAAGAAGAGCCCCGTCAGGCTTTTGCCATTGATCGCCGGGACACTGGATGGCGCGAGCCACCCGATCAGCCCGAACCCGATCACGCTGTAGTCGGCGCGCAACCAGTCTCTCTGGAAGCTTCACAAAAACATTCGTACCAACGTTGAAATCAACCAAACCAGATCACATCGACATCATGCACCCAACCGATCAGAGCTGAATAGAGACATTGAAGCACTTACCATGTGAACCTTCCTCCCGAGGTGCGAACCAGCTTCAACGGGTTCCTTGCTCTCACTGGAGATCTCACAAAGTCTGCAACAACCAACGATTCCGGATTGGATGAATGATCGAGAGTAATAGGAGCATGGAATGGAAAGAAGCGAGACGAGTTTCGGGATTATCAATGTGTACCTGAGACAAGGGCGGCCTTCTTCGGGGAAGACAAGGACGAGGAGCCGAGGCCGATAATGCTCGATGTAGCCATGCTTGCCGCCATTTTCGGTCTGCTGGTTTGGGATGAGAAACCGTAGAGTAGGGGGTGGATATGGAGGACTAGGGTTTTGTTAAGGAGCGAGATACAGATTTTGTGGAAGACGGATTGCTTGGATAGCGTCGTCGCTCAATCGGAACGTGCCATGTCGGATTTGCATGGATAAGCGTGGGGACGTCGAAACTCGAAAGATATGTGTAGAGAGAGAGCTCTCCCAGTTCGCACTTCAGCAAGTCGGCACGGGCCACTAATGGGCCCGTAAATGGGCCAATTCGAAAGGGCCCAAGCCATTTCTTCTGAGCCCAAGTCTTTATTGACCAGAATAGCCCCCGTGATAAACTAAAGGGGGGAAATTTTTAAAAAACAAAATAAATAAGGAAACAAAGAAAGAACACCATCAATTTGTTGAGTTATCTCAATTACATTGATTACCCAAGTCCCAAAATCATAATTTTTTTCTTTTTTGGTCAGCATAACTTTTTTCTTTATCAGTGACAAAACTTTTGAGAATAAAGTCCAAAGATATCAGTACCTACATTTAGCTCGGAGTAAAATCCACTTGACAGCAGATACAGAACAACTCCAATTCCCAGATTAACCAATCATCAAACCTTGATTCATAGTTGCCGAGTTGCTGCACGAAACGTCGAAATTGATGGGCATCAATACCATGGTCCAGTTCTCAGGCCGGCCCGCCACTCTGATTTTCAATTTCTAAGCTCGAGTCAAGCACTGCATTGCTTCCAAAGTCATTCACTTCTGCAATTAGTCTTGTCTGCCACGGCAATCTCCATTTCTAACTCTTACTTAGGCTCCCTTTTCCCTTTGCCTCTCATGAGACTCGATCAAAATCTCTGCACTGCTCTTCTCTTTGATCCAATCAGTGCCATTACATCTCCATGTAATTAGATACACAACAGGTAACGAGCCATGGACCAACAAAGAGGTTTGCAGACTTTTGAGCACCGATATTATCTGCACTATTCTTCAATGTCAAAAAGCTCTCGATATGACAACACAAACATGAAGAACAACATGATGAACCTTAAGCAAATGACACGCTTATAAAGCAACAGGAAGTACATTTGCAGCCCACATAGAAATGAAAAAAGGTCAGCAAAATAGTGAACACTAAAAAACCAAGTAAAACAGAGTATATTGACTAAATGATGCATCGGTTCTCTAACTACATCGGACATATTGACAGAGGAAAAACAGGAATTGAGTCATTCGTTAATGGAAGGTTCAGGAGGTCCCCTGGCTGTTGGAACGGAATCATCAACATCTCTTCGTGGTTCTTGCCTTGTCCACAAACACTACACGCCCATCTAGCAACTAGAAGCAAAAAGAGGGTCATAACTTACAAGGTCTAGAATGCGTAAAGTACCAAGAGATGGCACAATTCTCACCTTCCCATTCATGTCAATCAAGGCTTTCCGGGCATCCTCCTCCACAGCGAAGGTCACATATCCAAAACCTTTCGATCTATTTTTTACTCTATCCATTATTATTGTAGCTGGAAGAAACGTGGCTTCATGGTAAGAGATAATAATGCTTCTTGAATCTCCAAAGGGGAAATATTGAAGCTTACCTTCTTCAACTTGGCCAAACTTTGAAAATGCTTTGGCTAGCCTGTCGTCAGTGGTGGCAAAATCTATACCTGCTCAAGAGCAATATTTAATGATAAGTTTTGCCATGTCATAAGATCGATATTACAAAAGGCAGAGTATTTGCTACAACTAGAAACTGCATTTCATAGTGAGATAAACAACGATTAAAATTTCTCCTAGAAATAACTCTGATGGTACTAAAGCTGAAGATTCAGACCTTTACCGCCAATCATTAGTTCAGGAAATGATCGTCACAATCTTACTTGAAAATACTTTCTTGGTTCCTCCCTAAAGAGTTGCGATTTCTCCAGAAATGGATATTAAATCTGGGATTTGCTTGGCTTCACAGCTGATAAATTTTTGTTTCTACGCTCTTATGAAGGATTGATAGTAACTAATATTGTGCTAGTACCAGGACTGGCATCGCTAGCCGTGTTATACAGGATGAACGGCTGTGTTCATTGAGTCCTAAAGATTAGATCCAATACACAACAAGCTACTTAACACTCAAATGATTGTGCTACATTTTGTCACCATGTTATTTCCTTGAAACACAAAAAAGTAGCTAAACGGCTTCCCAGTTCTGAGGAGGTTGAAAGAGGTCAGGGACAAAAGCTCGAACCTCAGTCCTTACAAGCTCAATCATATTCAGTCCAATACTCAACAGCATGAAGCCTTCAAAGGCAATGCACCATCTAACTAATGATAGACGACCAAGAACTAGAAGTCGCATTCTGAAACACCCAATCACTACGGAACTACCAGTTATCTCACTTTTCACAGCACATGATGATATCCCTGGAATCATCTATCCTGCTGGAACAAGTACGCCCACTCTACTGTGAAATCTCGACGCAGACAGAGATTACAGACTTTCATGAATAATCTGGAAGATGGGGCTACTCATTTGTCAATGAATGAAGCGGGATTATGTCGATTTTGTGCTATCCCATTAGTCAGTATTGTCAAACTTTTGTTTTGTGCAACATCTTGATCTGCACACAGGACTCTGGCCATCGTGTCAGATTGGCGACTCGTGCCAACTTTAGAGAGTCTGTTATAACTTCTGGGTTGGAGTTCTTCCCTTTCGGGAGGACATCCGAAAGTTCTCGCTGGTTGTAAGTACTCCATACTTTTCTTTCATGTTCTGTTTGCCGTTCAACAGAATCATGAGATTTCATAGGAGGACAGTGCATTTGACTAAGTAGATTTGGTCTCTGTAATCAATTTCTAATTGCTTGCTGTTCCTTCAGCTGAGTCCGGTCCACCATGAATACCCGCAAAACCAGCAACAGAAAGAACAGGTTCCAGTTTCCACTGGCCATCAACTGGTGAAAGAAACGACTCAAATTCGGGAAGAAAGAAACACAAAAGAAGAGACTTTCAATCAAAACATGGAGCCTCAAATGGAGCAAAATCACCACAGGGTAAAATTCGCAACCAACACTAGCGCCTACCGCCTAGCACGAAAAAAGAATTCCAATTACTAGAGTCCGCCCAAGAAATCTTTTGAAGGCGCGGTTAACCGAAGCACATTCTCGAAGGTCAGCCCGACTCCGACAGAAAGCGCCCCTCATTCGACCAGGCCACTTGGAGCCCGTGCGCCTTGTCGGAAGGCGCCTCGTGCACGCACGCACAGCCAGACGCACACGGGGCAAAGCATCAAGAGAAGGGAAAAAGCATGAAGGAGAAAAAAAAAGGTTTTTTTTTTAGTGCGGTACCTTTGACGAAGAGCGTGGAAGCGAGCCCTCGATGGAAGATAACGCTAGCTGGGGAAACGATGGGGTTAGGCGACGATACGAGCTCGACCAACCTACTCGAAACTCTTCTAGCAGCCGCCATGGAAGAAGGCGCAGAGAGAGAGAGAGAGAGAGAGAGATAGAGAGAGAGAGGTGCGAGTGAGCTCTTCTGAGGTTTACGTCTCTTTGATTACCTGAAGAAGAAGAAGAAGTGGCAGAAAAAAACTGAAGATGGACTGTCATTTCGGGTTAATTTTTGGTTCTTTTTAAATTTTTAAACGAATATTTGCCCACTTCTTTTTTTTTTTTTTCCTTTGGGTAGAGATTTGATTAACTGTAAATAAATCACCAAATAAAATTGGATGACACTTCACAATTTCTTACGGTTTTCTTTCTTATATCGACATTGGTCGAAATATATTCACAAACCAACTCAAATCGCGGAAAACAGAGACATTTGTGCAAAAGAATTTTACACGGAAATTCTAAGAAAATAATAGTCCGTTTTTCCCTTGTTTACGGTATAGGTAATTATAAAACGAGAAGGAGATTGCTTGTAAATATTTTGGATATACTCGGGAATTCCTTATAACTGGCAAGGCAATCCACAATTATTGAATGGTGGGGTTCTATTCAAATCTATTTCGGGGTGCATCAAACGCAGTGATTAGTTTGCTAGCACGGTTTTGACAGAGAGCTATACACACATTTCATTCAGGCATTTCAACAAACACACTGTGATCTGTTCGAAAAAGAGATCTAAATGCAGCATTGAAGCAATTGTTACAATCCAAGCTTATCGCAATAGCATCAAAATGAGTGGAGATCATTCACAAATCCTATATTGTACGAAGAACGGCAAAAAACAGAGCACTGGATATTTACTTTGATGAGATGCGATTGTGATTGACCAAAAACAGAGCAAGAGAGGGAGGCGAGAGTATGAGACCGTGAGAGATAGGTGTCGAGCAAGAGGACTCAGGCGAGAGGGTGGCGTCGAGGCGAGAGGGCGTGACTAAGAGAGCTGTGACCGAGAGTGTGAGAATGAGAGTCGAGCAAGACTGCAAGAGGTGTCAGAGACTGGGAGTGACTGAGCACGAGCGAGCCTGAGTCGTGAAGAATGGGATTAGGCTTAGGCGTGAGCAAGCAAGGGAGAGGCATGGCGTGCATGACCATAACAAGCGATCGGGTTTTTTTTAGAAAGCGGTTAGAGTTTTTCCGAATTTGTAAGAAATAAAAAAAAAAATCAGTTTGGTCCGGATGGGCGTTCCAAATGGAACTAGAAATCGAACCGGTGACCTTGAGAACTGCCCAGAGCCAACAGATTTGATCTTGTTTGGGCGATTCCTTTTGCTCACCTATAATGAATACCTAATGAGTTCGGTCCGGGCGCCCAGAATCGCCCAGAGTTGCTGAGATCTCTGAACTCCTAAGTAGGTAAATTCTTTCTCGACAAGGTCCGCCTTCGTATCTTTTGCTGCTTGCAGTCATTTCAGTTGGAAACAGGCATCATCTTCATCAAGGCACCGACAACCATAGACGACGATCCTCTCTTGATCGCTTGCTTTCTTAACCCAGGTCAACTAGACATAACGAAGCACAAGCTTCAATTTCTCGACCAAGATAAGTTCGTTGAAAGCTTCGCGAATTCGTTTTTGTCGATGTACATCTTTCTCACAGCAGTTTTCGCCAATCGTGTTCGTAAATCTGGCCATATTTAACATGCACGAACATCAGAATAAAGGACATAGTCATGATTCAATGGGCTAGGTCAACTTACTTTTTTTGATTTCTAATTTTCAGAATAGTGCCATGAACAACTCAGCAGAAGACATTCACAGATGATTAGCAGAGACCGTAATAAAACTTATATACCTTACTAAAAGGTTATCAGACATTAGAGCAAAATACTATACAAATGGAATCACACACACGGATCTGACCGTTCGAGATTCAGAAAGGAAAATGCACAACCACCAAAACTCCAACAGAGAAGAAAGTCAGGTCCCCACCATCTTGCTGCTCATGAATTGTGCGCATTCAGCAATGCTCGATATACCATGTCGATGAACTGATTGTCCTGCAAGAGCAACAAGGTTATTTGTCGGATTGTTACAAGTGATTGAAAGAAATAGTTACGGTGTCTTAGATAGAAAGCTAGAGCAGCTAGCACCAACAGATCTTATTGTTTCAAACTCCAGAGAAATCTAGTTCTGGCTCCTAATGCGTGGAGCAGAAATCACGTAGTTACTACAGCGGGATCAGAAAACAATTCATGGGAAAGTTTTGATTCAGACTTAGTATAATTTTATCAAGCATGGGCTTCTTGAGGGAACCAAGCTACGACCAGGAGAACCATAAGAGACCTTTATGGAACAAAGCACCCTCTCCTTGATAATTTCTTCAAGATGCTAAAGCCCAATAAACATAGATAAGAAAGAAATTTAGGAATCAAAGGAGAGTCTCTGATTGTGAATCCAAAGTTCGTTTTCTCGCTAAAAGCTGGATGAGCTATGATCCTGAGGACAGCCTTTTCAGTTAGGTATTATCCTTAAACAAGTTGGAACATCGGTCATTTTACTTCCTTGAATCATTTAACTGGTACAACTTCCCGGAGAAATTAGAAAACCATTTAAATGGTACAACTTCCTGTAAAAGACGACAAGAGGCACTACAGGCAAACTAACCTGAACAAGCACTGATAGTGCATCTCTGATTTTATCTCTGTTCATGACAGGTGCATAGTTGGCAGTAGGAACAGGTGCTGGCGTAAGAGATGGAGGGGGCGTTGGTGGCGGAAATGGCTGAAGAATTGGAGCACCATATGGACGTTGTAAATTCACAGGTGGATGAAGGGGAGGAGCAGTAGGCATTGACGAAGAGACAGGCGGCACAATTGCGGCAGAGGAGGACGGCGGAGGGATAAAAAATGAAGGCTTCACTAGATTAGTTGCACGATTTTTGTTGCTACCAGGATCATTAATATCAAGCAACGACCCTAGAGGGGTAGGTGCTGCCAAAGGAGGAGATGGTATTTGCAAGGTCGACACAGCCGGTGAGGAAGCCGAGGCAGGACCGGGAGGTGGAGCCATTGCCGAAGAAGATGGAAAAGGTTGTCCACTACCTGCTATATGTGTAGCACCGCCAATATTCAAAGCTGACTGCATGCCAAAGCAAAACATTAGGGACCAAAAGGAAGCACACAGTACAATTTTGCATAACACGTAGAATATGGCTAAAGAGGACACATGTCCTAAGTGAGATATACCAGTGCTGCACGGCACCCCTATCATTCTCAAAGACGATGAGCTAAAATGAACTTCCACCACCATAATTGCCTGGGCAAATGGGGAACGAGTTTTCTGTAGATTCTAACAATTTTCAACAGAAACTATGCTCCACTTTCCCCATCTTCATTAGCACTTAGTCATTTTTTTTCCATATTTAAACAGTAGAACCCTATTTATACCGCACCACCATTACGAAAGATCATTTTGTGCGAATGCCAGCTAAAAGCAACAGCTCATTGTACATGAAATACTTTTTTTCACCCTTTGAAATTATATGTTATCAGATGATTTGTGATTCCTGAATGACAAAGGTTTCTGCAGGTATAGGGGAAGCAAAGAGGGAGAAGGGACAGCAGAACATCAGTGCCAAAAACACTACAAAGGCATCACTTTAAAATAACACAAATGATCCAGCTGTCGAGGAATTATTAAAAATAGGAAATTAGAAGCCTTCCACTCTTGACGACACAAATGCAAGAATTTTACGTAGCAGAAAGCTTGAAATGAGGAACGTGTTTCTCTACAAAACATGGAACCTACACATCAGAACAAACAAAGCAAGAGGAGCTAAATCAAGCTTCTTATACACAATTGGCCTTGAGAGCCTGCAAAAAGCAGGCCACAATCCGTAGGTGAGATTTCTAAACATCCAGTTGAGTAGTAATTTAATATTATACGAGAGTCCTCTGCTATTTTAAGAGAGTCATCTGCTGCTATAAAAGGGGAACAAAAAAGAGCAAAATCAGTTCAAGCAGCACTCGTCTATCCAAACTTCATTGCTTCATTGTACTAGACAAACTTCAAAAAGCACACTTGTGCAGTAACTCCTCCAACCATTGGAGGAAGACTTCACTTGTCCCCATGGAAAAGGAAAAGGAAGGTCATCTCATAGCACTGCTAGAACCCACATTAATCAATATGCCTCCTGCACAAAACTATGTGCATGATGCAGGTGCAGGAGATGTTAAAATGCATGTTATTTTATTTGCCTACAAAGCATGCAACATGTCACTTGTTTCTTCCTACATGCCTTTTCATCGTGCTGATGTACATTCTCCTACGTCTCATCAAATAAATTTACTTAATAGAAAATTGACTATCTCTACTAGTACATACGCTGAAGAAGTTCACAAAGGCTGGATCATCGTGGACATCGTTTACATTGGGCGTCGTAGAGGATGGGGGCTCCAAAGGTCCGTCCATCACTGCCATAGTTGGGACAGCTTCTAGTTCCTCAAACTCACTGCAGAAAGCAAGAAAAATATCTGTTTTAAAGCAGCAAAGAACTAAAAGATAACATTTTGAATGAGCACAGTTAATTATTTTTGGGAAAAAGATTCTTTTGGAGGTCAAACAATGAAACTCAATGCAAAAGCATTTCATTTCTCGACCAGTGTTCTTTTTCAACTTTTATCTGAACCAGAACTGAAAATGAGTTGGGAAAAGACATTACAGTTGTTTATCGAGTAAAAAGAAGATTGTATGTTATTAATTTCCTCACTGAAAAGCACTGGTAGTGCTTGAAAACTTTGGCACTTCTACGTTGAGCGCCGCAACGTGACAATTGCCAAACTGATAAAATTTACTATGGTATCCACCCGATAGAGGGTAATATTATAAAAGCCAACTTTCAGGTGAAACTTGCAACACACTACTTAAGCGGAAAAAAAGAAGAAATTAAAAATTCACAGTCAAGACTGCAACATCCCTCATACTCAACAGAAGTGAAAACCTTTCAAGCAAATAAATTGCGATCACCATAGTTATAGAAGGGATTACAAACAGGACTACAAACTCTGTCATTTAAGTGCTTCTCTTTGAAATTCCCATAGTGTATGTTACACCTCAACTGCTGAACTTATTGCAGTCCAGGTACGCATAGATCATTGAGGAGCAGAAAACAAGGCAAGTTCCAAAAAATCACAGCTCAAAGGCCAAGGTGAAGATAAGCAGCTCTACTGGTAAAAACTAACAGGAAAAACATCTGTGTTGAAATACTGATTTTATTCCTTCACGAACAATTTGCATATTTTGCACTATCAAAACAAACCACTTAGTACCTTTTAGTTGTGGGCACCTTTGACTTTTGAGGAACCTTGGAGTATGCATTAAGTATCCTAAAATGCAAAAAGCAGAAATTATTACTTAAAAAAGAATTGAAGCATTAATAAGCATATAATATATGTATAGATTCACAATACATAAATAACAACAAACATCCAATTTGCCTAATAACCTGTTAAAAAGACTTGCCACCTCTTCACATTCCCGTGCATTGTAGAACCAAATACCATTTACTTCCTGAGCAGCATTCCGGTATAATAAATATGGAACCTGGACTTCAAACTCAAAATCTTCCAAGAGATTCTCTACCAGATTATCTGCGTAAAACGCTGCTCTCTTAAAAGTGCAAACTTTAATAAATATCGAGCAGTCAAATCATCTACAAATCGAAGCGGTAAAATTCCGATAGTAGTGCTGCACATAATTTGATCAACGACCATCTAATTGACTTTAAAAATTACAATAACTTACTATACGGCACTTCTCAGTTAGTAAATAAGATATGGAGAAGCTAAAGGTACACCATAGTTTTTAGTTAAAGTTAGCGAACCGACAAAACTGGGTAAAGTCAAACTAAATTTCAGTTCCTGAAGTACTTAAAACAATAAAAAGGGACCCCTTCGCAACTCAACTATTAGAAAGGCACAGGTGCAGTTACTGCGCTTTTCCATCTTCATTAAGGCGAGCACTTGTACCATTGGCAATCTTATTTGGGAAGTATCTCTCTGGGTTCAGACCTGAGTAAGCTTGGGAAGATAAAAAAATTAGACTATGCATAGGATTCATGCTTATCTCAATGGGGTGTTGAATTGTATCTGAATTCTTAATTTATGTGGACAGACAAAAAATGTCTCCAAAGTCATATTGGGTAGAACTTCCCCAGGTTGTGTAGGCCAAAAAGGAGGATGATATATGTGGAAAACTAGATGTAAACAGTTGATTCTTAATATAAAAATAAACCAAATCTTTACGATCTAATGCCCAACATAACAGCAAAAGTACGGATCATAGCAGTCTGAAAAGAAAAAGGGATTACTTCGAAAGCTCGACTCTACACTTTAACAGTGAAACATTAAATTATCCTAATAGCCCTCCGCATGAACTCCCTAGACATGAAACTCTCGTCTCCCGCATTTTGTATGGAAACCACAGAGAATATTCCAGCAGAACTATCATCGCCTGAATCCGGCATAAATTTTCCTTCTTTTCCGCTACACACAAAGATACGAAACATGATTTTCCGAGATAAACCAGGAAATAAGCAAATAACAAAGTCCACTAACCAGTGTTCCGGCGATTCATCACGATAAACTGAAACCGAGGCTGAGTGTTCCTGCAACCAAAATTACAGAAGCGTATGATGAAGCTGCCAAAAACCGCCAGTCGAGCACACTCAACACGAAACTCAAAACACAAAATCTGAAGTCGAGTCCCAGACAACAACAGTCCACAACGAGACCCTCGCCCTTGGAACATCAATTCCGCAACAAATCCGGCACCGACACGACAAAAAAACGAAAATTTTCACTAACCACCGCACGAACGACTAGTAGTAGTTCAGGAATTTACCTCTTGACAACAAACAGAGACCCTTCCACGTCCTTCCGGCTCTGCAAAACCAAGGGGAGAAAACACGCTCAACACATACCCAACACGAGATACCAGCCGGAAGAAACTCGGAAAACGATCGGGAATCCCGGGCAACTCCACAGCATCTTCAACATCACAAAACAAACGAAAGAAGGCAAGGGACAGAGGGGGAAAGGGGGCGGAGTACCCATTGGCTGGAATCGATGTTGAATTCGTAGAAGGTGACGTGGGCGGCGGTGATGAGAATCTCCTCGACGAAAGGATCGAGGCGCTGGAGGACGGTGAGGTTGAGGAGCTTGGTGCTCTGGTGATCCAGATTCGGCATCAGCTTCCCGCTCTGCGACATTGGGCTTTTACAGCAGCAGCAGCCTCCTCAGCCTCCTCCTCCTCCTCCTCCCCCTCCCCCTCCCTTCCTTCCCTGTGATCTCGACTGCTGCTGAATCTTCTGCTGTTCCTGTTCGAATTCGGTCGGATTGAGACTGAACAAAACCCTAAGATTTTCCCTTTCTTTTCGATGTCCGCAGAGGAGAAGCGTCTGAGAGTTGGCCTCTTCTAGAGAGAGAGAGAGAGAGTGGAGAGAGAGAGAAAGAGAGATGTTGTTACGTCGACGGAAGGAAGAAGAAAGGCGAGAGGAGAGGGGGACGATCTCGGTCTCGGATTTGGGGCGGGTCGTTCGGGCGGGTCGGGCTCGTCGGGGGCTATATCGGCTTTTGCGCTTTGCCAGTACCCGCGGCCCGCTTCTGGTAACGTTCTTTTTTTTTTCTTCTTCTTATGATGAGGACGATGAAAAATGACACGAATAGTCGTTGAACTTTAACGCGGTTCCTGAATTTTTAATTTATTCAATGTGGTCCATGAACTTTAAATCAATATGCAGTGGGGTCCACGAATTTTTAATTTGTTCAATATAGTCCATGAACTTTAGGTACTTGTTCAATTTAATTGAACATTTTCATATAGTTCAGGGATTACATTGAACATGTATCAAAAGTCTATGAACCATATTGAACAAATTAAAAATTCATGGACCACGTTGAAAATTAGGCTAAAGTTTAGAAACCACATTGAACAGATTAAAAGTTCATAGACCATATTATATATTGGGTCAAAGTTCAATACATTTGTGGTCATTGTCTCTTTTTTTGTTCTTCTTCTTGTATTTTATATTTTTTCCCCTTTTACTGATATCCGGCTCAAAAAGTTCTGACCCCAAGCGACGAGTTCGAAATCTAGGCTTCACATTGGACAAACTTACGGCAGTTTGATCGGCACGGTAACATGGGCATAAGCTCTCCTTGAAAAGGATTTGGCTAGCTAACGAGTCTACAATGCCTCGAACTGATAGTCCCGTGATAATTTAGTAAGGCTTTTGTTAGCCCGAGCACGGGATCCGGTTCGACCTGATAACTAGTCGAAACAGGTCTCGTGCTTTCGATTTCCAAGGAGAACATATTCTTTCTCGCTTTTTGCAAGACGCGACATGCGGTGACATATGTTTGTATTTGGCACGAATGGGATTCAAGTCGCGTACGAGGTGGTGTCAACCCGCTTATAACACACTTGCAAACATGTCATGCATTGTTGACCGATTAGCACACCTGTGTGGACATAAATTAACGAGTTTAAAGTTCGTGTATCAACGTTACGATTTGTTTCAACACAACGAGATTATACTTGTTTTTAACACGTTTAATACTTATGTGTAATGACTTTTTAACATTTTACAAAATTAACGCCAGTCAAAGGGATAGAAATGTATCGGTATATGAATGTTATTGAACATGATGAAAGCCTAACTCAATAGTACATTTTAGATTAATGTGAAGTAAAATTACTCGTATTATCTAGAAACGTCTTAAGCTTGTTAACACAAGTTATCATGTATAATCGTGTTTTTTGTGCTTATTGTATACATATTTTAACGTATATTTGTAAACAAATTAACATATCGTATCGAAGTGAGACGATTGATAATTGCATTAGTCATATTGTGTCCATGTCGTGTAACCTGCTTCACGTGTTGTGTATTTTTTTTTTTTTTTGGTAACCGAGGATCCGCTTCACGTGTTGTGTTCATAGTCAGTCAATTCAACATTTTTATTTAGTGTGTCGTTGTTAGGTTAGCTATATTTGTCTTATGTCCCGTCAACACAAATTGCCAAACCCAGTTCCGAGTTCGAAAGATAGAACTACTGATTCCTGACTGGATTGGTTTCAAATCAACTTAGAACAAACCTTTTCAAAAGAAAGTTATGCATTTACCCCGATCCAAATTACGTGCTTTCACGAGACAAACATTCATGTAACCACTTGATCAACAATAGTTAAGTATAATTGATACAATTATCTTCCGATTACCATTCGGCTTAGTTTTCTTCAATCTTATGTTGTTAGATCTCTGTGCATGTTCATCACATCTGTACTTTCTTTCATTGTGTCGTGTCAATTCATGACCCGGCTGCCGGTGCTTTCCAGAGAGACGGCAAAAGGTAGAACACGAGGATCGATGCTGCTGAGAACTGCAAACAATCAACCAGTATCCATGCCCGGGAGAATACAACACTGGAAGAAATTGCCACATGTTCTAAAACATGGTGGTGACAAATTGAAAATGCGGGTGCCTCCTTGAAATTGGAACTGCAGACGATAAAATAGAAGAAAGTTGGATAGACATTACAACCACAGTATGAAAGCAATGGCTAAAATTTTGGTACAGGGTGAACGTCGGGAAGCATCACAATCTCTAATTTAGAAGTCCGGGGCAAGTTGAAATGCAAAGGCCAAATATACAAGCGAACCGATTGGCGCTCACGGTGTGGTGGGGCAGATGTTCCATTTATCTTCCATGCTGCAGGTGCGCTAGAGCTGCCATTGTAGCCACTGGAAATCCTCGTCTATCGCGTTCAAAATCCTCCCTAAGTTTTGAAACTTGGGTTTCCAGTCGCACAAATTCCTGCAAGCAACTCAGAACTATGAGCGGATATAGAAACTGAGTTCAAGAAGATAAGCAGATTTGAGGAGAATCACCTCTCTGGTAACTGTTCTCTGTTTCTCTTCTTGAAGCTTTGTGCATTCTTCCTTCAGCTTAGTATTTTCTTCCATTAGGCGAGCCTAAAAGACATATGCTGAACATTACTTCTCCAGATAAAATACCATCATCCATTGGACAACATTCAATAACACCATAATCCCACATCATCAAGAGATCCTATGACCTGATAGATAAGTAGACACTCGCCCGAAACCTGAATACTCTTTTTGAGAGTTTGGCCCACTTGAACCAACCCAAGTTGTTCGAAATGGATAATTGCATTATAACATGCGCACTCACTTTACCAAGTTTCTACTTAAAACAAGTCCTAAGTTTTCTCCCACGAGATGTCAGTGGTAAAGATCTACTATTGAGTGTTAATCAATACAGGGAGCATCAATACAGTGAGGCTTTTAAGTTTTGCATTCTGCAAGTCTCTAGGACATTAGCTGAAAAAAGGAAGAGTATAATCAGCATGTTATCCATCTAATCTCCTCTAGTTTTCTTTTTTTCTTGGGAACATCCATCCATCCATCCATAGTTCAAATAATTTGTAAATATTCTACATTCTTCAAGAAAGAGATGGAGAGAGAAAATACTCAAAGGCTACATCTTTAGTTAATAACTTAATGAAACAATACCTAATATGGCCCTATTTATAAAGCATTAGAGGCACTTACAAAAAAACTAATTTTCCTCATTTATGACCACCTACAAACCACTGACTAATCTCCATAAATATACTTCAGCCCAGCCCTCATGCTAGAGCATCCAGGTTGCATATGACAGTTGCAACTTTCTTCCAAAGTCTGTGACCAAAACTCCATGTAACCCGAACCTTACACTAGACAAGGGATGTGGATTATTGAAAAACAGATTCAAAACAATGACTATTGTGTGCGCCGGACCTTACACGACAAATTGAATGCAGTCCACGTCATCATCGAAATTGACAAGCGCTGAAGAAACACATGATCAGAAAGTTGAAGGTGTGCTTGATTCCTGCCCTCACGATTGAAAGAGACTCCCATAACGAATAATGTTAATTCTAGGCATTGTTGAGAGTTGACCAAAATTGGATTTTTTTTAAGATGAGGTGTTGTAGATTGGAGCACTAATGGCAGCGAAGCAAGCTCTTGTTTTGTTTTTCTTCTTTTGGAAATGAAAAGGATAAAACAAAAAAGAAGACACGAAAAAAAAAAAAACTAACTAACGAAGATGGAGCTTGGTTTTGACGGAGAAGCATAATTAAGGAAGCACGGCGGAATGAAGCTAGAGAAAAGAAAGGTTTGACTTGTGGTAGACTTCACCAGCACAAGGATGTCAACGACAAGATTGACAAGGCCATAGCAAATGACAACAATTCATGCTGACAACGATGGAGAGACCGGCTGCTCAATGAGATAGTGATAGTGTTGCTTTTAGAGAGATCATGAGCATATCTGAGATCTCGTTAAGCAGACAATGATGATGCAGCTTTAATGAAGGCTAATTGTGGTGCTCTCAAGGATGAAGATTGGAGGCCGAAAAACAAAGGACTTGATGGTGGTGGGCTTAGCGTCAGAGTAGAAGCAATTATGAAAGAAACGAGTCTTTTTTCTTTTTAAGACTGACCGCAAGAAGAAGATAAAGCTAGGGTTTTGATTTGGGTCTCTCTTTCTTGGAGGCTTAAATACCATGTAAATATTGAAAGATCTTCAAGAGGGGAAGGGAGAGGGAAAATGCTACATTTTTATTCCATAACTTAATGAAAGAGTACATAAGATAACTCTATTTATAGAACAAGACAGACACTAACAAGTTTCCTGATTTTCTTATTTATGATCACCTACTTACAACTAGCTAATAATATTCACGAATATACTTCAGCATAATTGAAGAGGATAATGATCCAAATGAGCTTAACCCCTTGCCCTGCTCTTGTCTAGTAAGATTTGGGTTCGTAACTCTTCCATAGGTATTCCATCAACAGTAAAAGCGATGAAGAATCACGTTGATGAGCGTGCATGTTACTCTGTGAGGCTTAGGATAGTGGGAAGTGAAACTATTACCGTTTCAGCTGCCATAGTTACTATTAGTTGCTCAAGGGTTGTCTTTTGGGCTGCCAAATCATCTCTTTCATGTAGAAGCTTCGCATTCTCTTCCTTCAGTTGCACTAGTTCGGATGCAAAATTTTCGCCAACTTCCTGAAGCAAGGGGAAAATGAATAAATTATACAACATGTCCAGCAAAAGCTTTCAGTCTAGTACTTGAAGTTCATCTGTGTACACAACGAGAGAAAAAGTTGTTCTTAGGTTTCTTTTTCATAGTTTTATTGCAAATACATAAATAATAAAAACATAAATATAATTTTCAATAATATATAAACCAGCCTGGTTCGCAGGGCAGAGCCTTTTTTGCGGGGAAAATTCGTGCAGCTCGGGGTGACTCCCCACGGGGCATGGATTCCCCCCTGCACCCCGTGCCCATCCCTAATAGAGTTATTAGCATTCACAGCATCTGTGCTAATAGAAACGCCAAACATTAGTCACTATAAGCACACCCTGAAGGCACGTGTCCCATAAGCAAAGTTCTGAACTTGACCACACATGCAGCACAACAATATCCTACTTTGTTCTCAGATGATACAAGACGAGATTGCTTCTTGAATGACAGCTTGAACTGCCAAACGCAATGCAGCACGAAAAGACTTCTACACTTTTAATAAACGCCGAACAAAGTCCAATGTGATGCAGCAATAAAAAAGATTTACCTGTTCAGAGAAATTCCTCGTGCTATGGTCTGTGTTAACTCTCAAAGGTGTTACATTGTCGTCGTCATCTAAATCTTCTTTTGGATAACTAGTAAGATTTTGCGTCTCGCTTAGAGTCGGCTTGTACTTGGGACATCCCCCCTCGAATATATGGCGATTTAGATGGGTTGTACCAGAATTGCTCGAACAAACATATAGATTACCACAATAATTGCACCTGCATTCCTCTCGCTCACCTGGCCTCTTTTCAAGCTTGGTGAAATGTTGCCACACTCTCGACCTTACTCTCCCTCCTCCTCTTTTTCTCTTTTCGCCTGTAGTTATCTCAAAAGGGCTAGCCTCTACAGGGACGATGATTTCCTTAGTAGTCTCCACTGTCTGCACAAAGATTTATCAACATGAATACAACAAGCACGTGACTAAATAGGAATGTGGCAGGTAAACAGCAACATCAGAATGAAAAATCATGCCCTTTCAAACTAGTGGCTACTACGGTACATCAAGCTATACAAATGATGTTTTACCTGTCCTTTCTGATTCCATGAAATGAAGCTACTCCCCACTTCAAGTCACAGTGCAGCACATGCTCGTGAATCACCTCAAAGATACAAATTTCCAGAATTGTTCAAAATTCGCAGTTGCACTTCAGCATACCAGGATGCCTAGACATAGACTCGAGTTTGCTCAACCCCAAGGGAGTTAAAGAAGTCAGTCCAAATCACGATTCGGGTTCGAATGATATTCAATAAATTTGTCAGTGGCTGGAAGATGCATTTGATGATTTACCTGCTTCTAAGTTTCCAACTATCTCTAACAACTTTGCCATATTTTATTCTTGACCAGTGATAAAGCATGCCCTCAACAAAAATGCAATAATCTTTTCTACCACAAAACCTGATATAATCCCACAATGCAAAAGTGTACCAAGCCTAAAATGACGCCCTCATAAGTTATAGCTCGGCTTTTTACCAGTGTAGGAATAATTGCACCAATTATGTCTACTTGGACTAAGGTCATCTCACACATACAAGCATATGTAGCCGACGCCACCGCGTTTCATTGAACCGTGCCCGAAGCAATACACCGAGGATATACTAAAGAACAAGAGATAAACTGAAAAGCTAAAGAACAGTTTCCAGAAAAAGGAAGATTTAGTTCCACTTTTTGGTTTAAGATCTCACAGACGTACTTCCAGAAGAGAGAAAGCTGCAAGTTGGAACAACAAGTTCCTCTCTTTTTGTTTCATTTGCTTTCATTTATGGAGGGGGGGAAAAACACATCATTTGAAGCGAGATGATGCCCAAAACAACATAAACATATGCTGCCGTCCGATTTCGAGCTTGTTCCTCGTAAAAAAAGATGCTCCACGTACATTACTCGGAAGACCACATCGGACTCTGATAAGCATTGAAAAAATCCACAGAACCCAAAAGGACTTTCCAACTGCAGCAGCAGTGGCAGACAGAGAGAAAGAAATCAACACACCTCGAGTGATGGAGCGAGTAGATCCAACGAGGAACTCATGAATTGCAAAAACCAATCGCGGAAGCGACTCCCCCCAGCTCACGATTCGGAAATCCGGAGGAGAATCGGAATCCCCGCAGCAGCGCCGTCCGAACAGTCGAAAGCTCAGAGCCCGAAGGCGAATCTTCGAGCGGTCCTCGGGCCGCGGGCTGCTCCGATTCAGCCCAGGAGCACCGAATCTCTCCATCATTTCCGGGCCGGGCGGGCCGAAGGAAGCCCGAGTTCGTCGGAGCTGAGTCGGGCTCCTTAGAGCGCGCTTCGAGCTCTCCGATTCGCGATCGTCGTCTTCGGAGAATTCGTTAGCAAGGGCGGCTTCGCGGCCGGTCCAATCCCACCATTGGAGAGTTCAAGCTGTACGAATCACGCTTCGCACTCTCGAATTTCGAAAGCATCGTGAGGCTTGACGCGCGACCATGCCTACCGTCGTATCGATCGAATCATACAAACACCAATCTCTCCACGAAAACGATTCATCCAATACAATCCTTCGTCTTAATATAAACTCGCCGCAAAGCCGAGGAAGTGTCTGTCTTCGTCCCCCCGTGTGTCCCCCGCTTCGTCATGCATCTCATATCTCTCCTGCAGCTTCCACATTCGAAACGTTCTTCTCGTACCTCTCGCGTTCGAAACACCTTACCGTCCCCAGATTATGGCTTTGGTCGCGCCATCAGTAAACTCTGGAGAGGCTAACCCTGCAGAAGAACCAAAGTTCATGCGAGCCTTCCCGTCTCATCCACAGAATCATGTTCTCACGGTGTCCGTCGCATTACACCCCTTAAAACTTATTCTCGGGCAAAGGCCATCACAGCCACATTGCCGTAAAGACCGAAAGGACTGGTTTTGAGCACGACCCAGAAACATGCCAGTAAAAGAGTCAAACTTTACAGGCCAGTCGGCTTAAAAAAGATGGCCTCTCCCAAGAGTGGCGACACCGCCATAAGTCTCCGCCGAACTACTCACTCTCGTGTTTTCGCCACTTACGTCGGCATTAGCCACAGCGAGGATTGAGGTTCATAATAGGGGGGTACAAATACGTATTTTATAGGAGAGCCGTGATCATGAAATAAAGAGCGACCGACCCGAATATCGTTTTGCAAATTCTTATTCTCAAATGCTTCAGCAGTTACGAGAACAATATGCCCGGAATCAAAGTCAGACGAAGAGAACATTTATTCAAAGAAAACTAACATAAAGCTAAAACAAAGTGTCGGCAGGTTTCTGCTCAATAAGAACAAAAGCTTTTCCGCACCAATCAGAGCACGAACCGAAGCACTGATACACCTTATGGATACTCCTGGCATTCCAGCTCATTCCGTTGCCTTGCCTTTGCGCCTACTGCTACTAGTCTCTAAGAGATAGCATACCATGGAGTCCACATCATCGCCAAATATACTGTACGCGTCGATCGCCTGGAGATAAGTGAATCCCATGGACAGCACAACCTGCATACTGCTGCTCAGAACATTATGCTGGGAACCATGTTCTCTTCCACTCCCCATCCTCATCTCACTACCTGAAGGTGCTGTAACCAAATGCATATCAGTAAGTTTGTGCATGTCCAACTTATAAAAGAATTGCTGGCAGCAGACAAATATTGAACACATCCTCACTGTAAGGCTATGCCAATAAGATTGCTTACAATGGTGACGTTGGAAAGCTTTTTGAATAGGACCTGTTTTAAGGGACACAAATTCTTGTGAAATTTTCTTGGAAACAAAGCCTGTTTTTTCGGTGATTCAACAGTACCAACTAATTATTTTCATCTGTTCCAAAAATTTAAGAAGCTCATGGACGAATAATTGCTATAAGATGCAGCTATATGCTGAACAGGAATTGACAGACAGCGTTAACTACCGATAGAAACATCAAAATGCAATCTCCCAGTTATACTTTTCTCTTTCCTTCAACTAACTCAGGATTGACAGACAACATTAATCATTGATAGCAACAGCAACATCAAAATCCAGTCTCCAAATTATACTTTTTCTTTCCCTTCAACCAACTGAGGATTCCATTTGTTTTAGACACACTTCCAAAAGGTACTTTCCAATGACTGGCAGAATGTCTCATCAGTTATCCAAATGAGCCAATGGAAAGTACCTTGTTACCACACTACCACACAGAGAAAAGGGGGAAAGAAAGAATTCTTACTTCCACCAGAAGATGATGGTTCCGCACTAGAAGTAGAAGAGTCTCGAATACCAGGTTGTTTCCTGAGTTTGTCACTGGCGAGATACTCAGCCCGAGAAGCTTCCATAACCATGCGCTCGATTTCCTTCTCAGTCAACTCAAGGTCAGACCAAAAGCGACCCTCAGCCAAAAGAGCCTGCCAGTAGAAATAATTAGGGGAAACGCATGATATCATGAACTATAATCTCACACATTACCCTACAAAGAGACCACGACACTTACATTATCAATCTGCTGATCTTGCTGAGCTTTGATGGCTGCCTTTACTTGATCTTTGTCGACATTTGTCTGCAAAAAAAATTCCCAAGTAAGATAAGGACAAAAGTGTATCAATATCAACGTGAGATTCAAAAACAACTAACTGCTACTGTGAACAGAAGGCAAATTTTGCATTTTACACCCTTCAAGGAAGTCGGAAAACCCCAATGGAACTTCTGATCACAGCATGGTTCCACTCACTATTCACTGTGCTTGATAATTGCAGAACTACTGAAAATACGGTCTAGTTGACTATAAGATTGGCACCAGCAACAACCACAGTCTGAGGGAAATCGGAGAGTTGGAAATCCAACTACTTCTCGACGACATAAAGCCTTCAGTCCAATGCGTCAGCTAAATGCAAATCGAGAAAAACTATAACTTTTCATCAATTCACTTCGCTAGGCGATTCGAAAGCCATTTCCATGTGTGATATCCAGAACAGTAATCAAGTTTTTCTCGCAGAGATAAGATTCCAAGATATCAAAGTGAACCAATCAATTAGGATCAATGCAAAAGATGCAACCCCTGACCTAAGCATAGGCTAATCTAGAATAATTTGCAAGAAGCAAAACAAATAAACATGATACAGACCCCGCGAAAAGAGCCGAATCCAAGTCCTGCACCAATTGCCAAACGACGTGGATCCACAAGAGAATTATAATGATTCCCATGATGGTAGCTAAGTCGAATGGGTGGCGTGTCGGTATTGTAGCTTCCCTGGAAAATATTGATAGGCTCTGCATTGAGAAGTACCAGTTAAAAGAACAAGCCTTTTAAGTACAAAATTATGCGACAAATCAAAAGCCAGTAGCTGCACAAGAGCAGCACCTGTGCTGTAGGAATAGATATGTATTGGTCGGTTATAAATCTCACAAAATGCTTGGATCTCCACATTGTTCCCATATACCTAACCGTCAAAAAAGAGCATTTAAGAAAAACAGATGAGCAAAGATCATCTCCATATTCGAGTCAAACAGAAGGCAAAAGTAGACACACAACATAATAATTCCTGTCAATATGAACAAGTAATTCAGTCATAGCCAAACAGAAGGTTCACCAAATATGTAAACAGAAACAATAGAAAAAAGCAAGTGACTAATTATGAGAGGAAGATAGTAAAATTAAACGTTCATTTTAAGCATATGATTAAGTCGCACGAATTCAATGAATGGCACAGAAAATGCCACCAAAACTTCCACTGATGACTATTACTTTAAAGCTTCCATTGAGTTCATAAAAAATCCAAATTGTTTAGAGATCAGCCAATGAGATTTGGCAACTAACTATCCACTTCTACCATATTGTCTTGCCAACTGCATCATATGACACAATTCACAAAGATTGGCAATTCATGCCACTGTGTCATAATTGCATTTTCAACTCTTGTCAATCAGGGTAAGCATTTAAGCACCTTAGCTATTATGAAAATGTTAAGCATATCATACCGTTTCGTATTCAGGTCTTCTGCATTTCAATTGTAACAATTGTTATTGACGTTAATAATTAGCTAACAGTGCAGCTGCAGATTCAATCTGTCAAACTAGTCGAACAGTGAAACTGCCACTTGACCAGTTTTCTAATAGATCCGGTTTTCAAAACTCTTGTTTTACTTGTATCAGGTCGCTTATAGTTGCTTTCCTGTCCTCCAAAGTGACTTAAACTTCAACAATCTCATGTTTGATCGCATCCCAAGGAAAACAGTTTGACGGTATCATAAGGTAGTAGATAAGAATTGGCATCTGTTCCATCCCAACTTATCTAACCACGAGCTGCAGCAGTACCCACGGAGCTAATCCGCACTAAGTTCCCATTTTTGAGTTAAGGGTGTTAAAAGCCTATAATCAACAAAGGTGAATAATTTCTACACTTACGGCTCTTACAAGAAGCTCGCTCCACTACTACCACATACTCTTAAGCACAAAATCCTTTGTTAAAGAAAAGTTTAAGCTCCATATGGGACTCAAAAATGGGGAGTAAACCAAATGCTACCCAACAACATGGTAGAATTAGCTGTCAACTTTGCTGGAAATGAACTACATGATGACTCCAATATATCTCCTAATCAATAAAACATGCTCCACTTGTGCAAGGCACTAGAAAAATAGTTGCTCTTTCCAAAATCAATATCCTTCAGAAAAATCGACAAGGATAAGCCTCCAGATATTTCGCATTTAAATTTGAAGAAAGTTGAGGGAAAGCTGGTGGGGGCACAATTGAGGATGAATTGGGATAAGGTAGTCTGAGGTAATTTCCAAACATGCAACGACAACCTTTACTTCTCCGCGATAAGATGGAGCTCTAAGATGAAGACGTACATTAAGATGCAGATTAAGATACAAAAACACCTAAAAGGGTGAGGAATAAGACTAGGGAAATATCTTGAATATCAGGAGCTTACTAAAATTTTACACATATGTCAGAGCACCACTTGACGCGAAAAAGCTTACTTGTCAATGTCATATTCAAACTAAGTCTCCCAACCCTACACTTGCGCCTACTAAGCTGTCTCCAGATTTCAGCTCACACAAAAATTTCATTCCTTGGATTATGCGGCAGTAGATCATGGCCGGGGAAAGCAGAGTCAGTGAATTGTCCTAAATTTACATCCCAGAAGCACAGCCATGTCCAACACTACTCAAGCTGGCTAATCAAAAAGAAAAGTAAAATGGCCACTAAAATTTCACAAACCTTGTCTCTTCTCTTTCTTCGGCAGTATTGGGTGAAATTTTCAGTGACAAACTGAGAGAAGTGATCTCTTTCATGCTCCTGAAAGAGGACAAAAAAGGCAAGCAGAGACAAGTATTATAATAAAGCATAAGCTTCACTAATTGCTGAAAGCAGATGCGTGACACATATAAACGGCATGAGTATCTAAAAATGTAACAGAAGATCAAACAAAAGGAAGAGCCTACACCAAGGGAAAATGAAATAACACATGAAAGCATAAAAACAGCGATGGTGTCAGATTGGTTCACGCATAAATCCATACTACTCAAAAGTAAGATGTTGGTAGACATATAGTCCAAGGCAATATCAACACTATATTTGAAAAAAATAAAAAAATAATAATATATAATAGTTGCGAGAAAGAACTGGCACGCTTTCTAGCATTTATCAGCCTCTTGAAAATGCACAATCAACTCACCTCGAACCATATCAAGAAAATCACATGTCAGATAACAATGTCGATGATGATACAAAATATTTTTCTTCTATGCATGATTAGTTTCAAGAGATCCCTTTTTCAACTTTTCCTGCACTAGAAGATTCAAACCTTCATCCTTTATCGCTTGAAACACCAAATCCATTTAATTATTTTCCTTTCCCTTCTTTCCCTGTTCAAAATTATACTATTCTCTTGCACCATCACGCCCAAAACAAAATACTGGGGAACAAATTACTTCATTTGTACCTGATTAAGTATCCATTGATAACTATATGAAGAAATTATCCACCGGGAAGGAAAGACAAGTGGAACGTGATATCTTATTAGAAAGACTGTTTGTATCGGACGACTACAATAATCTCATACTCCTATTCATTAAAATGGACAACAATCAACAGACAATTAACTATCCAAAATGGCACATGACCACATCACTCTATACTCTTTTAGTATAGGAAAACATTGTAAACAGGACCAGAGCACGAGAGGAGTTAAACATACCATATAGTCTATACACATTTGCCGGACAAGACCATGCTCATCAGAGTCCCCATAAACTTGATCTGCAACAGCACGGAAGAGACAATTCCCATCCTCCAACATTCTTTTGACTTCCAAACCCTTTATCCTCCCAATTTCAATCTCGAACTGACGTTCTCTTTCCTAATAAAGATTTAAAGTACCGGCGTCAGATAAATAGTTTCACACATCAAATAGCTTCCCTTATAAAATAGAGCCCAATGCACAAGCCCTAACAAACCATGAGGGCCTTATTAAATGAGTCGCGTGTATTATGTACTTCAAGTAGGTGGCCAAAAACAAGAGACAAATTCAAGAAGAAGCATCGGCACAAAAACTTAACGTAAAATAACAACAGCTACAAAGATGCAAAGAAAAGGTCATTCTGGTACTAAAGACAACGAGGTTAAGTTTGCATGCTCGAATCCTTTTGAAAGATCATAACTTGTAACTCACCAAATCATCATAAGATACAAAGCATGGTCCCTGCTCATCCGCACTGTTATAACCCTCACTTTCACAGTGAGATCTTGGAGAAGAAGGCCGTGACCCAGTAGGTGAAGTTCGAGCTGAAACAACAGGCCAGGCAACCGATCTTCTGGAAGGACCAAGTCGTGCGGGATTTGAGCTTCCCTGCGGAGCTCTCCTTAAGTTTGAGTTTGCGACAAATGGCCTTGGTGGGGCTGGAGGAGGTGGCGGATGTAGACTCCCAACAGCACCTTGCAAGTTGCTTGTGCCCTCATTCTCTTTTAGATCAACAGGCTTCAGCCCGCCTAATCCTTTCGAGACTTCCTCTGAACTAGGAGGGTCATCACTAACCAAAAGCTCACCATCATGAGTCTCATTACCCAAGTTCTCATCCTGATCAGCATGATATCCTTCCACATGTTCATCGCTTTTCACAGCAGTACTGTCACCGCCACAATAGTATTCCGACAGCTCATCCACAACAACTTGTTCTGATACCTCCTCCTCACTCTCCTCATCTTTTGCAGCAGAAACAACCGAAGCAGTAGCAGAGGGCTGTGGCTCTGTTCTAGCTGAGGAAGAAGAACGGCTCGGATTCGATGAGGAACCACCCGAGCCTCTCTGAACCAAGATCCGAGTCATCGTCGTGCAGGTGTTTTATCGTCACTTTCGCCAGCAAAGAGAAACCTTCTTGCGCGCCCCCGCCTCCCCGAGCTCGCTCCTCTTTAGAGACCCGACACCATACCGAGAGGTTTGTCGCGCGTCCTGGCCTTAGGCGTGGTGACGCAGATACCGCGGCTGAAGGATTTCTTCCAGCCCAACAGCGAGCTCTTCTCTGCCGCGCAAATCAGTCTCTGCATTCCCCTATCAATTCTCATGAGACCGTGACCTCCTAATTCGGTTAAAACGAAACACTCTCTCCCCTAAGTTAACTGAACAATCCCCCAAAAGTCCAAAGAACTGACCTTGAAAGCCCGAGCTGCAATTCAAACGACCGATTCAAACACAAAGAGCAAAACGGCAAAAAGAGAAAAAAGAAAGGCCACCCCACTACCCAAGATCATCCTCCGATCACCATTTTGCTTCTCGGCAAAAGAAAGACGGCCGATCGAGCCGTCAATTTCAGGGACGCCCGGGAAAACAAACAAAAGAAAAAGAAAAAGAAAAAGAAAAAGAAAACAACAGAAAGAAAACCCAGACGAGGAAACGGGGACGCGCGCGCCGTACCGGAAGGAAGAACCCTAGAATCTCCCACGGCGGACCCGACCGTCGCGGCCGACGGAGATCGCGACGGAGACAGAAACCCTAGAGTTGACTCGGTTGGGGGGGAGGGGGAAGTGGGGACACTCACCTCCGCGAGCGGGAATCCGGAAGCGAGCGGAGCGATCGCCGGCGCCGATTCGGATGGGAAGAAGACGGCGGATTTGGGGGGGGGGGCAGAAATGGGCGGCGGGTGACTTGGAAGCGAAGGAAGGAGGGGGAGGCTGCTGCGAGAGAGAGGGGGCAGTCCTTTTCCTTCTTGTTGGGGAACAAAAGAAGAAGGAGGAGTGGAGAGAGAGAGAGAGAAAGTGTGAAAATGTAGAGAGAGACTATGGGGAGGGTGGCCTTTTAATGGTGGGTGAAGGGGGGGTGTTGGGTCGGCGCGTGACGTGGAGCTTTCTGACGCCGGCCACGTCACCCGACCCCGCCGAGCGATTCCCCGCACGTGCTGCGCCGGGGGTCGCCCCCCCGGGGAAGTTCAACGCGTGCGCGACCTCGGAGGTTTCCACCCTTTCCCAACTCGTCGAAAAATCCTAAAATTTATCGCTAAAGTATTATTAGATCCAATAATCCATAAAATAATCCGATCGAAAGTTTTAGGAAAAATGACACGAATGGTCCATGAATTTTAGCTCGATATACAATGTGTTCTCTAAATTTTTAATTTGTTCGATGTGATCTCCGAACTTTTACTCGATGTGCAATGTGGTCCATGAACTTTTAATTTGTTTAATACGTAATCCCTATACTAATTCAATAGTTCAAGGACTAATTGAACATGTATTAAAAGTTTAGGAACGATATTGAATAAGTTAAGATTTCAGGGACCATAAAGTTCAAGTATTACATTGAATAAATTAAAAGTTAATGAACTAGATTATATATTAGGTCAAAATTTAGGAACTGTTCGTGTTATTATCGAAAGATTTTACTTTAACACTGTCCAATTTGATTAACAAAAAATATTGATTTGATCGGGTGAGAGGGGGTGCCGGTCTGATTGCTCGCCGGGGCCCGATGAGGGCCGGCAGCTGCTCGCAAGGCCCCGGCGAGGATCTTTTATCATTTACCCAGTGGAAGTGGAACACGACTCAAGAACTAGATGGCGGTGTCTTCGATCAGCTCGCTCCTAATAAAGTTTTCGAGACGAAAATTGATGCACCCCTTCCAAATTGTCCGATTAGCTTCTCTTTGCACTTGCACGGATGGCTGCAAGGAGTGGCGAGAATCACGACCAGAACCGCTAGTGAGGCCAACATCGGCGAGGGTCGACGGCTCTCGCTAGTAGGGCGGGGAGGCGGCGGCCGTCGCCTTCCCGAGTTTAAACACCTCCTCCATCCTTCTCATCGTTTGGTTCAAGTTCTTATTTTCTTTCTTTTTCTTTTTTTAGTTTTTGGTTATTATGTTTCTAGTGTTTTATTGTTATTAGCTCAACATGAGTCATGGATATATATATATATATATATATATATATATATATATATATATATATATATTTGGTAATTTAGGATCCGTCATCATTCTCCGGGGATGAGCCCGCACAAGTGAATGGATATGTTGTTTACCACCTATTATTATAATCGTTACAGGAAATGCTTTTGTACTACTTGTCTTGACTAATTTTTCGCTCTTTCCAGGCAAAAGCACGTTTGGCTTTTGTCCACATTTCTTAGCCACGAAGATAAGTCGTTCGAGAGAATAGCGTGGAAAGGAAGTTGAGCCAAAAAGATCCCCATTCAAGATTCCAAATCTAACGTAAGAATGCAAGTTCAGTCCAAAATTTCTTAACTTTTTTTCAATTTAGTCCTAAACTTTACAGGAAAATCCAACAAAGCCTTTTTAGCTAATTTTTGCTCATAATCGCTGACAGCTGTCGATGGCTTCCGGTAAAGATTTAGGATTAAATTGAAAAGTTTAGAACTGAATTGATATTCATATGATAGATTTTAGGACTGATTCGATAATCTCTCCCGTAAAAGGATATGTTCATGTCCACGCCAATCGCGAAGTCTTAGTAGCTTTATCAAGTCGATTGCACTACGCCAGGCAAAAGGGTGCACACTGCACCCTGCTTTTCAATTAAATCACTGCTTCAATACACTTTCACATGACAATTCACAACTGTACAGTAACCCAATGAGAGCGCAGTACCGTGTCATTCAACCTCTTTCAGAATCCAGAGGCTGATGACATGAGAGACACAAGACAACTTCCAATTCAGTTCCTTTTGAGAGAGGCGGTGGACAAAACCACCAGGAACATGAAGATCAAGGCCGCGACGAAGGAAGCCACCACCGCGCCACTGACTTGCTGGCAGAAGTCGTTGAATTGCCGGCAAATGGCGAGCCAGTTCGCGTTCACGTTCCCGTTGTGAGCCAGGTAAACGATGGCCGCCGCCGACGAGGCAGCAGCCGTCGTGAGTGCCACGAATATCTGCGACGATTTGGTAGATTAATTGTGTTAGGAAGCGAACACATGGCTGTTGTTTCATTTTTCTAGTAGGATCAGTGGATGATGATTATGAGCAATGGTTATCTCATGAGATAGATTAGATTACGGTGTCAAAGATGAGGAGGAGGAGCCTTGGACCGACGGCCTGGGGCCGGACGATGCACACGATCGAGAAGGGCAAGGAGAGGACGAGGTATGCGCTCGCCCCAGCGTTTGCGATCACGAAAAATCTGCATTTCATGTCGGTCAAATTAAATTTGACATCATTAAGCACTAAGAATAAAGTAGCATGTGCATAATTAACATGGCCCGGAAATCAAACTTGCATACTCGAATGCCACGAGATCATCGTAGCTGGCCTGGAACTGGAAGAATTGTGTGAAGAACGGGAGCGTTTGATCAGTGGTTCCCATGGTGGTGGCAGCGGCTAAAGCGGCGCCAGTGGCCAATAGCCTAAGAAGGAAGTCGAACACCGCGACGCCTTTCTTCCATCCTCCTCTTCCCGCTCTAGCGGCGGCGGCCACCGGAGGAGGCACCGCACCAGCAACCGCTTTGCCCTTGGCTCTGGCCCTCGATTTGGACTTGGATAACAGCATCGTGTCACCGTTCTTTGACGAGTCCATGGAACTTGCAGGTGCCTAAAGACTAGTGTCTTTTTCTCTTCTCAATGTGGTTGATAAGCTTTTGCTGTAGCAAGGCTATGAGATACCATGTTGAAGCAGACTAAATATATATAGTGGAACTTGGATTAGAGCCAGAATTTAGTAAATGAATGGAGTGGTTTGACTTTTGTTTTTTGCTGTTTTTTAATTCGTCTAGGAAGTTCATTGGGACGTCCTAATGTTTTTGGAGGAGAGGATAGGTTGTTCCTGCTCCACTTTCTCACCTGAATACACCTTTATGTTGGTGCTAGTTTAGTATTAGAACCCCACGCACTGTGTAGTTGGATATGGAACTGGAATTGCTTTTAGATCATGCACGACAAGGATGAGTTTGACAGTGATTATGTAAGAGTACGATGAGAGGAGTTAAAAAAAGGACATCGTCCCACTTGGCTAGTACTTGCAAGGAATAAGATAATCGAAAATCGAAACACTCGATTCTGAATCATTGCCAAAGGGCATTGGCTCGAATTGACGCGCAATTTCAGTCGCGGGGATTTCCCGTTTCGACTGCACTGAAGTTCTCTCGAGAACCTGTTCCACCTTTGATTTTGGGCCACCAGGTCCTCTTACCTCCAATCGGAGAGAAAATCGATGGCATTAAGATCAGCATTTCATATGCTGCAACGAAAAAATCGCCCGAGCAACACATGCTTCTCGGCCAGCCCATCAGCCAGCTTCACTGCTTCAACCAGATTAAACTTCCGGCACGATCAATACACCAAGAGACATAGTTTAAGAGCTCTCCAAAAAGGTAATGCTGATTACAGAAAGCTCAAGTAAGAAAAGAAAGAGAACTGATTTGAGGATGAGCGCTCGTTCATGGAAAAACAAGGAATGACCGGATCGAGTCGCTATAATAGAATTAACTACCAACACCACAACTAAACCTTATCCCATCAAGTATGGGAGAAGTTGAGAAGAAGGATCAGCAACTACCAGGATATCCTTTCATACCGTTTAATCCCAATCCAAGCAGCAGCATGGTTTCATACAACCAGATCGCCAGGAGCAAAAGAAAATAGCAGATGGCACGCCAAAAAGTAGGGAGAAAAGTCGAGGGTTCTTGATTGCATCAAGTTGAATCATCCACAGTAATACAATTAGTTAATTGTGATTTAAATCAAAACATGTACCCTTGTGTTCAAAACCAAATTGCGTTGTGTTACATGAATATATAGAGAACTCTCAAGAAACAAAAGATGCGTGCATCTTTCCTTTGGACACACCACATGCTCCTACAGCTGGTCTTTTATTCTATTCGTATCAAAATCCACAAGGGTAAACAATATTAATGCAGAAGCTGTTCAGTGATTTCAAGTTGCTTCCCGGCGTGTTGTATTGAACAATGCAGTGTTAAGCAGAGTTCCTCTTCTGAACTCAACAAAAATAAAATAATATGCATACAAAATCAGTCATCGACATGTTTCTTATGTACGTAGTCTCCATCCCCGCTCAGCAAGCGCTTCACGCACCCGACTAGCAGCCTCAGCAGTGTCATTAAGGGGAGGATAGCTCCAACTTTCCGAAATCTGTAAAAGAACATGGGAAATTTTAAAGAGATCATACTGAAAGGAAGAACCAACACAAAGCGAGCCCAGGACTATGCCATGGTCTGTACTTTGACATTCTTGCGAAAGTTAGCTCAACTATACTTACATCCTCAGAGCCCAAGAATGGCCGAACTACACCTCGCTTACTCAGAGACTTGTGAAAGTCTGCATACTTCCAGGTACACCGATCAGCTCCCATTACATACACAGGCTTCCTGAAGGCGAAAACACAGTAAAAATTAATACGGGAAAATAACAAAACAATATTCGAAGAATACAAACAGTCAATAGATAAATTCTCCAACAGAGATTTCCACGAGAGCCATTGCTTCTCAAGCTTACCCAGTGCTGCAGACTTCACTGATCATACTAATTGAATCTGCTGTGACAACAAAGGCATCAGCCCATGCCAGATGCCCCATGTGCGGATTAGGCTCTAACCAGAATAACATTTAGCATATGTCAGAAAAAACTTCTGCAGTTCATTATCTAAGCTCAAACAATGAATAGTATGAAGAGAAACCACAGTTACCTTGACCATCCCAGATGAAAACTTTTGGATTATCGCCAAGTTGTTTCACTATAATACCGGATACCTAAGGGCATATGGCATATCAATCAAAACAAGAGGCCTGAAAAACGTTTTAGAAGATTTTTGACTCCGGTCTCACCTTATCTGGTGTTCTACTTGAGAAAGAAATTCTGACCGTCCCACAGCTTGCGAGCACACTCAATAAATTAGATATCAACTTCTTTGCAAGATCTGCTCCATATCGACATTGACCTATAACAATGAATTGCACCGTTAAATGGAGTTAGATAGGAATTAACTCAAAGTTCAAATCAACTACAAACAGAGGAGTATTCGACTTCATTAATCACAGTATCATTGAGACTTATACATACATCCAAAGAAACCCGAGAGATTTCTACGATGCTTATCTCAAGATAAGACATTACATAAGCCTAATCAATACCATCAGCCTATCTTGCAGTCCAGCCAAGTGCTGCTGCTGCTAGTAGATCTCATATACTACGTGCCCACATCCTAGTGACTGAAAAGATTGAATATGTGCCCCTGAACTATGTTGATGCGATTTATCAAACTTCAATCAGTTATAATTTCCAACAGAAAATCTAAAGCTGCTCTCTCAAAAATCCAATGCCTTAGTGACTGATTAAACAGTCACGCCCATGGCATCACCCAAAAAGTGAGTCAACCAACTCGGTGCAGGATGGTCCTCAACTGTGCATCCGTTCATCCAAGAGGAATGAAGAACCGCATTCACCAATTACTTCCCACAAATACTAACCTTTCTAAGCATGTTAGATGGAATGTCCCAGTTCCCTTCTATTTTATTATAATAGAGTAAAAGACAAGTGTTATTATACACATCTTATTAAAAGCCAAAAGGGCAGACAATGAATCGAGATACTAATTTGAAATTATCACGGAAAGCAGAACTTCTAAGGAATCGGTGAAGAGATTCAAATACATACGTGTAGGTCCTCCTATATTAACCACAAGTAAGGGTTTTGGCAAGGGTGCAAACTCATCATTCCAAGCACTGGCTGCATTCCGAAGTGCAGCAGAATCAATTTGGTGCAAAGCTCCGACAGTGAGGACCTGAGACCAAGAACTCTTAGCATAGATACGACTTATGTAAGCCATATGTGGAATTCCTGATAAGTACCACATGCTCATCGGGAGGTTCTTGTGGAGTTAACCATCGCTTTAAGAATCGAGGAACCTGTTCCTGTGCCTCAGGGGTCAGAGGATAGTAGTCATGTCGAGGGGTGATCACCAAATCAAACCTATTTAATTTCACCCTTGGATGTTGTATCTGCAACAGAAAAAACCAAGAAGAAACCAATACCCAGTTACACATAAACTTAAAGAGCAACAGGTGCACTAACACAAATTTACACAGAGCAACGACAAGAACTAACCAAAAATAAAGAAAGCATTCCTACATAGGCCACCAGTTCAGTGCGCAGATGAGGGCAGATAAGTATAAACATACCTGAACAACAAAAACATTCTCTGATGCTAACCGCTTTATGGAACTTGCAACGGATATTGTATCTCTGCCAGATGCAACGACTAATAGAGGCCCATCCCTGTTTTAAGTATGATGATAAAAACATCAAAGTATTAAATAGTATGTGTGAACACCGAGAAAGAAGTAAAGCAACCCCATTTGGCAAAGGGAAGCATAATCAACACAGATGAAGCTGGATAGAGAACTTTTAAGGGGTTAAATGCGCAACAGACAAGAGTCTGCCCTGGTAGCTGATAAACTGTTGTTCTTTATCTACTTTTAGCTGGATAGCTCGTATAAGGTTGCTAACACACCCCACAATATCCATTTCAAAAGTGAAGAGATCTATCTGTATTAAAAATTCACCTATCATGGGACCCTAAGACATGCTGATATCAAATGGGACAAACAGAATGAGGGGGAGCATAGTAAAAGAATGAAAAGTTTATGATATAAATAGCAAATTCATGATACCAAAAGGATCAAATAAAGTACATCAAAAATCAATTAACCTACAACTACTCTGCAGGCAGGAAACAGCTTGCTACTATCATAAACAGAACTAACATATATATCATATGACGTTAACATGGTAATTATTTGGCATAATAATAACAGTAGGACAAATAAAGATATGCCATTAGCAAAGCACCTAACTTACAATGCATAATAACGTTAATACTTTTTGCATCCATCAGTAAAGTCAACAACACAATTGTGAACATCGCTGTCCTCTCTTTAGCATCTTAAGGAAGAGATCTAAATGCTCAAAATCCTCCCTTAAATTTTTCATCTTTTACCTTCTTCGACATTCCTTCCCCCTTTGCTCTAATGCCCAACCATTAGTCACATCCTCCCGTTGGAACACCTAAAAGTTAGCATTCTAAGTGTCTACATGAATCATTTAAAATGAGCTTCTCTCATTTTGTCCCTAATTGAGGTTACTTGATCTGAAGGCTATCATTTCAAGCGTCTAAATCATTTTAAAGAACCCTCTTTCACCTTATCCTCGATCGAGGTTGCAGAAATTCCTCTTGAGCATGCCGATCATCTCATCCTCAGTTGAGAATACTCCTTGTATATTGCCTATTTCTAATTCCGAAAATCATGAGAAAATCCATTCCCCTACATATCCCCGTACCCATGCCCAACTCTTTAGATATGCGTTTTTCTAATTCCAAATGGCACTTGAAACCAAGATGCTTCCTTCAATTGCACAGCATACTTTCTCTTCCATCCAATTCTGGTAATGAAGTGAGACAAGTTCTAAACCCATATCCAGACCAAAGTACATGGGCAACAAAACCACCAACAATTTCAATAATCAATAAGAACGCGAGTAGCAAAGAAAGACATACGTTTCGTAGGTGTCACGAGCCATTTTCACAATCTGCTTCGCATCAGCCTCTAATATAGAAGACAGTCCAACACTGCCACCGTTTTCTGGATGTACAAGCACATTTTTTCTCCCTCGGGCCGTCAACAAAAGCTGCGTGTACCCAAAAATTCGTCTAAGGACAAAATACAACTTCTTGTGAACAGATACAGGAAGCCAGTGCAGCCACTCATTCACGCCTCCTTTTGGTCTCGTAACTCTCTGCACGTAACAAAAACATCAATATGGAAACTTGAGCAAACGCCAACAACTCATGAGCATGATTTCTCAAACCACAGGGATATAAACAAAGCAAGGCGTCGGAGGTTCCTGGGGACTCACATACAGGACGTGCTTGTCGGACAATCCGAGGGCGCGAACCAGACCGACGCACTGGTTCTCGGACCCGGTCGAGCCGTTCCCGATCACGACGGCGCGACGGACGACGCTGTAGGCGCCGCCGTCGAAGATCTCCGGCACGCCCGGGGTAGGGCCGGGAGGCTCCGGGAGCCTTATCGGCTTCATCGACTCCGAAACGGCGCGCGGGGATTGGCGATCAGAGCCCTAATTTGAGAATCGGCCCGGCTCGGCTCGATTCGGTCGCGGAGTAGAGCTCGAGTCGATCGCGACGGGGATGCGAGGAAGGGGGAGGCTCGGAGGATTCAATCGCAGTTCAGCTGCGCAATTTCGCAGTGAAGATGCAGAGGAGGAAGAAGAAGAAGAAAGCAAAAGATTTTTTGAGGATTTTTTTTTTTTGGCCAGTTGGGAGTTCAAGTACTACTTTTCTATCACGAGAAAGATATTTCTACTTACCAAAAAAAAAAAAAAACGCCCCAAATTCTATTTTTTTTAGTTTATATAAAATATTATTGACTAAATTCGTATAATGTGTTGGACCAAAAACAAAATTCGTATAATGTGGAAATATTTTTCAAGATTTCTTTTCCTGAATAGAAAAATTGAAGAAAGTTGAATAAGGAGTGTCCAGCGTACAAATGTGTTGCGGTGACCTCTTGATTTAAATGAGGCTTTTCAGATAATGGTGATGCCATTAAGTTTTTCGAAATAAAATAAACGAGCGTATTCATGCCCAATTATTTTTATTTACATACCTGATAATTAAAGTGTCGTTTGGACAAGGATGTTGATGGTGAATGGTAATTCCCGCACAAAGTGGGGGAAAGCTTCCTCAAATCATAGTAACTATCGATGGTTAATTTTACATATCGAACCATTTAAAGTTCGATTGCTTTTAATCTTATCATACCTACGTATGCGTCACTTGTGGAAAATTAAAAAACTAGACATACTTTAATATAGATATGAATTTAGTATCCGGTTAGTTGGCTTACATGTCGGGAAAAGTACAAAAGAAGTTCTAAGCTTATTACATTTGTGCTAGTTTAATATTAAACCTTTCAATTATGCTAATTTAATCACAAACCTTTTTATGTTTTACCAATTGAGTTTATCCGGCCAATTTAAGCCCGGACCGTATTTCGACCACTATATTTGTCTTAATAAACAATTCCGAATTCCTAGCGGAAATCTAACCACTTTAAATTTTAATACGTCAACTACTGTGATTGACTATAAATGAATGATATAGATCACTAATAACGGTGACAATTAACGTAACATCACTGATTTATGAACGGTATCAAACTAGTGATAGTAAAAGTGCCGAGTGCTTTTAAATAACAATTGTCGTGACAAACTTTTCTTAGATCATGTCAAACAATCATAGAAGGCAATTTAGCCATTGTTGGACTAAAAAGTTTTTGCCAAGATGCTCCGAAACCATTTATCGTGAATTTGGTTACGCATGTTCATTTGAAAAGCCCGCATTTTCAACCAACGGGCTTCGATTTATTAAATCAAACATTAAGATGCAAGCAATGACCATGAATATCATTTCGACAAAAATGAAATGCTCCTAATTCCATATTAAAGCATGGCACCATCACCATTATTCAGGCCCCCAAAAGAGTATACAAATATACCTTCTTCTTTTTTTGAAATAAAATGATACGTTTCATCAAAAAAAAAAATTTTGAGTGCTAATTGTAAGGGGAAATAGTACTTACCAATGTGAAAAGGTTTATGATTAAATTGGTCTAATTAAAAGGTTTAGGAGTATAGACGCAATTAGTTTATGACCTTTTTAATACTTTTATCAATTATTAGGTTCACGTCAACCAAAAAATGATCTAGGTTACGACCAAAACTTATATACTTGGAATTTATTTATTATGCCTCTTTTATGGTTCATGATATTGAACGTCTCAATTAGACCTGCGTTATTTTTTCTTTCGGCTTTTTCTAAACATAAATGTTTTAAAGAAGAAACCTTTTTCGAAAATTAAAAGAAAAAAAAAAAAAGGGGAAACAGGATCGCCCACCGTGGGGCTCGAACCCACGACCACAAGGTTAAGAGCCTTGCGCTCTACCGACTGAGCTAGACGGGCTTCATGCAATCCCATTCTTTCGAACATTATTTATTCGCGTACTTCGTGTGAAATACAGTTTCCCATGAATTTTTGTTTGGTTCTTTCTCGACTACTCCTGTACTTTCAACGTAGCAACCTGCTCTCCATAGCCAAGAAAATCCTCCCTGTCACTTCAGTTTCACAGCATCAAATCAAAGAACGCTCTCTCTGCAAAAGCATATGGCTGCCCATACGAGAATCAAGCCACAGACACCACCTCAGAAACGAAGGGCAGGCACCATAATTCCATCAGCCAAAGATCAGAATAATGGGGCATTTGCCAAACAAGAGCGAACAAAGCAAGTAATCGGGACCATATGGAAAATTCGACCAAACAGGTCAACATACTAATGAACATGCCAAAGGCGAGAGATTCACATCCCCCCCCCAGTTTCATTAATCATGTTGCCACTTCAGCTATAATTTTCACCTAATGCCGAACTTCCTCCATGTATAACACAGGGATGCCAACCCCGGAAAAAGATTCAAAAAAAAAAAAACTATTTCCTGTCGAAGACCACCGGCGGTTTCGCAGGAGAGGTTCCGACATCAGATGCAGTGGACCGCACTGAAACGGAGACTACCGGGAGCCCCGTATTTTAATCGACGAGGCCGAGAGATCGGAAGACGGTGCAGAGCATTTTAGGAGGGCGGTTCTAACATCTGTCTTCCATCGACGGAAATACTCAACACGGGTTGAAAGAAGAAGCGGAAGATTGGCAAAGCATTCGGACTGGTATCGACACGAATTGTAACCGCGGTGCCAAAAGCTGCCGGCATCCCGTCCTTAAATTCAGTCCGGATCTTGAAGATGGTCCTGGTCATTGAGTCCATCCCGTCCTTCGATTGTGGCCGCTTCAGTTGCTTACAAAAGCTCAGCCATTTTACCTGCATTTTAGCTTCCTGCCCAAAATGAGAGTGAGTTCGAGTGTTTCCCTGTCAAAGGACGGCATTGTTGTGTACATCCTAATCATCTTGTTCAGTGCTGTAGCGAGTGATCAGCAGGATAACAATGGACGTGCCTTCAACTCCTCCAAATCCTCCACCAGTTTCTCCTTTGCAACGTATTACAGAGGCCATCCGCCACCTCCGCCAGTCCTCGTGGCTGATCCGCCTCCAACGGCGGCACCCGGATCCCGAGTACCGCCAGTATTTAGAACGCCTTATCCGGGTTATGGATCGACTCCTGCTTTACGTTCGCCGCCATCAGCTCCTCCCCGGCGTGGTGCACCGTCGCACAGGGGCCAATCAGCTTCACCACCTCCACCGCCGCCAACATATGGATCTCCTCCACGTTCATCAACGCAACCTCCGCGAGTTGCTCATCCAACTCCACCAGTTTATCAACCCCCTACGCCGTCACCTCCTCCAGCTCCCCGGAGAGCGGTTCGCCCAGCACCGCCAGGACCTCAACCTGCTCCACCATTTCACAAGCAACATGTAAGTCCACCATCTCCTTATAGGCGACCAAGCCCACCCCCCGTGCACAGGCCTCCAGCCCCAACTCATCATCCTCCAGTGTCTCGACCACCTCGTAGAAGACCAGTTCGCAGTCCACCTACACCTCCTACGTATCAACCTCCCCCAGCTCCAATCTACCACCCTCCAGCTTCTCCACCACTGGCGTATCCAACACCAAGTCCACCTCCTACATATCAACCCCCGTCTCCTCCAACTTTATCACCACCTCCACCCACATCAAACTCCACCTCCTCCTCCCCCTACTATTTATTTACCATCACCACCTTCATATCCACCACCAACTTCACCACCCCCACCTCCTAGCTATCATCCTCCGCCTGCTTATTTATCTCCACCACCACCACCTTCTACTTATCAGCCTCCACCTTCTCCACGACCAAGGTATCCACCACCTCCACCTCCACCTCCACCTCCTACATATCAACCTCCAACTTCTCCACCTCCGATTTATTATTCCCCACCACCTCCGACTTATCCAACACCCGCGCCTCCAACATGTCAACCTCCACCTTCTCCACCGTCATCCCCTCCTCCACCTCCGACTTATCAGCCTCCAACTTCTCCACCACCTTCATATCCTTCACCACCTCCACCTCCTACTTATCAACCTCCATTTTCTCCACCCCCAGTATATCCTTCCGCACCACCTCCTACATATCAACCTCCACCTTCTCCACCAGCATCACCCCCTTCACCTCCAATTTGTCATCCTCCGCCTTCTCCACCACCTTCACATCCTTCACCACCACCTCCTATTTACCAACCTCCACCTTCTCCGTCACCGTAACCCCCTCCCCCTCCTACTTATCATCCTCTGCCTTCTCCACCACCTTCGTATCCTTCACCACCACCTCCTATTTACCAACCTCCACCTTCTCCGTCCCCATCCCCCTCCACCTCCAACTTATCATCCTCCGCCTTCTCCATCACCTTCATATCCTTCACCACCACCTCCTATTTACCAGCCTCCACCTTCTCTGTCACCATCACCCCCTCCCCCTCCTACTTATCAACCTCCACCTTCTCCGTCCCCATCACCCCCTTCCCGTCCTACCTATCAACCTCCACCTTCTCCACCAGCATCACCCCCTCCGCCTCCAACTTATCATCCTCCGCCTTCTCCACCACCTTCATATCCTTCACCGCCACCTCCTATTTACCAACCTCCACCTTCTCCTTCACCATCACCCCCTCCCCCTCCTACTTCTGAACCTCCACCTTCTCCACCACCCATATATCCTTCAAGATTTCCGCCCATCCAAAGGCTTCCTTCTCCTCGACACCGAACACCGGTGCACAGACCACTGCATCCAAAACATAGGCATCCGGTGTCTCCACCAACACACATATACCCATCACCCCATCCACCTACAAGGACTCGACCATCTCGAAGACCACCACCAACTTATCAACCACCGCCAGTGTCAACGCGGCCATCACCAACACAGAGGCCTCCAACGTATCCAGTGCCACCTACACCAACTTATCCACAGCCACCATTACTTCCTACTCCATCTTATGGACCTGTGTACCCATCACCACCAAAGGCCTCCATCCAGTTCCTCCGCCCATAATGGAGATGCGTTCCAGCCAGCTAATGTGCAGGACTAATGTTTAACATCTCCTCTTGACTGGTAAACATCAAGTGGAGCTTATCTACTCATCAGACCTAGGCAGCCTGCATGTTCTTTCTTATGCTGTGTATATCATCAGAATGAAGCTTGTTGTACCAACTGCTGTCCTAGTAAATAAAGTCCACCTGTTTGGGATAATTAGCATGTCTAAATGAATGATCCTCTTTCCTACAAATCAAAGATTACAGTAAGCAGGTGCTTAAATCTTATGAGACCAACCCAAATTGAGGTTGTTATGTGATTGATTTGGTCAGAAGCGTCTTTCTCTCTAATATTCCCTGGCCTGTGGTATCTTTTATATCTCGAATTCATGGTTAAAAGAGAAGTATTGGCACCAAACAAACATTAACTCCAATTGCGAAGCATGACATGTAACATGTAACTAACAAGGACAGTACTAAAGCTGATCTTAATCTTATCGAGCAATAAACACAAAAACAAGAAGATTATCTGATGTGTTCTTCATTGTAATCTCAAATATACATGGCACAAAGTCTAGATAAGCCCATTGCCTCACCTCGAACAAGAAGAGTCATAAATTTGCTTTGACCCTCTGTCCTCACATCGTTTCAAGAGCTAGATTAGCCACCATTTTAACCAGAGGAGCAGGACACTTCGTTATGATGTCAAACTTGGATGGGCTGGAGGCATGTCCAAACAAGGATAAACTCAACATGGCAAGCTCCCCAAAGGACAATCTCGAGGAGAGAAAACCGTGCCAGTAATATGGGTTCAATTCAAAGAATGCATCAAAGAACCTCCGAGTCCCGTTTAAGTCGAGCTTCAACAAAGTCTCCATTCCAAAGTGGTAAAACTCTCTAGCGCACCTTCTGTCAACTGGCCACAGGCCATTCCATACTCTATGGTGAAGTGGCCTTCCTCTAATCATCCGGGTCGAGCCAAGACACTCTGCAATTGTCTCAGCTAGAACCGGCGCTAAAGCTAGTGTGCAAGCCACCATGTACCCAGTTGATGGGTGGACGATCCCGGACGTACCACCAATAGCCATCACGCTCTGAGGGATTCTCGGGAGAGGACCTCCCATGGGGATCAAGCATTTCTCGTCCTCTAACACTCTTCTGACCCGAATCCCCAAATGCCTTAACCTTGCCACCATTCTTTTTTTGACCTCGGAATAGGCTAGCACCGGTCTACTCACTAATGAAGTCTCTTCCAGAAATATTAAGCTCGAATCGAAGGGCATCGCATACAAGAAAGTAGGGAATCTCGAGTTGTGGGCTCTCAAGTAAGGCTCATTCCCGAGATGGGAATCTCTCCAATCCATAAGCACCATCTTATCTAAATCAAAAGGGTGTTCATCTACTTCAGCCAAAATCCCATGAGCAATCTGATACCCATGGTTCCTCGGCTTATCATACTCGATGAAAGTACTCCCAAACCCGCTTGCATCGACGATCAAGCTCGCTTTCAGCTCGATGCCGTCATCGCACACGACAGACGACTCAAACTCCTCGTGCTCCACTTTCCACACCTTGGCCTTGTGGAATCTAACCCCAGTGGAGACACACCCTTCAATCAGTCTCGTCTTCAATTTCTCCCTACTGACACGACCATAAGGCCGGTCCAAATACTTGGCCTTCCCGTCGTTAACGAAGACGCAAGCCATAGGCCACGTCTTGTCCAGGCAATCCACGAGCCCCAAGCCCTCGAACTCGTCAACCCAGACCCCATAATTGTTAGGCCACATGGCAAGAGGGGAAGGATCGACGCAGCATACCCGGATTCCGTGGCGAGAGACCTGCTCCGCCAGCCGCAGCCCCGCCGGGCCGGCGCCGACGACGACCACGTCGAAGCGGCGCGGATCGCCGGAGGCCCACCACGCGAGATCAGAGTCAAACCCTTCCAAGAGCTGCGGGGTCGATTCGGGTTTCAGCTCGAGGAAGTTCCCGAATTTGCCGACCCGGGTCGCTCGGTTGAGCCTCCGTGGAGGAGCGTGGAGGGTCTTTGGAGGAGAGACGAAAGGGGCAGGCGAGGGGGGGAAATAGTTGGTTCTCGCCGGCGGCAGCGGAGGGAGTCTGAGAACCGCCGCCATGAGAAAGGGCGAGAGAGAGAAGGAGATCAGAGATTGCAGCGATGGAGGAGGGAGAGAGAAGGAGAGGGGTTGATATACCCGATGGGAAGAGGAATCTTGGGGAGCGACCGGAGAAGGATGCGCTGCATGATCGTTTTTGGCGCTAGTTTTGAACCATCACCCGTTCTTGTTACGGAGTATAATAATGGGAAAGTGGGCGGAGCAATTGCCGAAAGAAGACGATAGTGGTGGGGGGTTGGTCACGGAACCTCACCTGAGACGGCGGTTTCGGGCCCGGCGAGGTGACAGGTGTTGTCCCGACGCTAGACAAAGAACGTGCCCGCCGGGACCCACTTCGGGCCGCAGCACCAAACTGGAACTCCTGTCCAAACGCATTCCCGTATCTGGTGGGTTTATTGGGATGGACCAGATACGATGATTTTTAGGCTTTGGTGAGTCTCACCAGATTTTAATGGGAATTGACCAAATTTAACCAATTTAAATGGACAGTCCATCAGAGTTAACAGGCACCCATCGGATTTGAACTGCTTAAACTGACTATTCATACAACGTGTCGTTCGTTTGTTCGCTTGTTGAAAGAGGTCATTTCTAATTTACGATTAGGAGCGAACATCGATTCGACATCGAATCAAATCAATCTGAATAGATTGTGTTTGAACAAATTTGAGACCAAAACCAAACCAAGTGGATGACAGACCAAACTCCACCTGCATCACAGTTCATAAGTTCATACAAAATGAATATCTAATCTACTCCCATTTGAGAGGACAGGATGACAAATACAATTAAAACTAGTAAGTAGCACAACACATTTTCACTTCTTGGTTCGATTAAAATCAAACTAAAAGATTCGGTTCAATTGGTTTTAACAACGACGAGCTATGTGAGCGACCACAAGTCCAGTTGATGGGACCCCTGGTTTGAATTTGATGGCCTCGTACCTTTTTCTCGTGCACGTCCCCGTGAAGACCCAGGAGCTGTAACTTCACAGTGGGCACAAACACCAAGGTATTGCAATTTTCACCATCCATGGAAAAGCAAGTTCTTTTGGGGAGCCATCGCAGCCTTCACCAAGTCCTCTTTCTTATTCGTGTTATTCCTTATCTATGCATATAGCTTGTCTTCGGTAGGGGAAGAGAATCGACGGTGGTAAGTGAACACGGACAGAGACAGAGTTGCATGATTAGGCTTTTAGGCAATGCCCATGCATGAACGTGCACCTGCTAGAAGAACTTACAAAGAAAGATGCTAGATAGAGTAGAGCCAGGTTGACCAGCTCCTCCTATGCAATCACCAGCTTGACTCGAATAAAAACTAGCCAATTGCAGAATATGAAAGATCATATCAGGAAATTTATTCTAGATAGAACTTGTTTTGCACAATCCATCTCATATCATAAGAATGCCAAAGGCAAGAGCTTGACTGTCAGCTATAAACAAGTACATTATTTACATCAGTGTAAAGATGCCCCGTGAAAACACATCAACAAACTCATCAAGAACTTAATGGAAGCGATGAACCCCATCAGACTCCCCAAAAACCAGAATAATTCCTCCCAACAGGGTGATATTTAGCAGAGACAGTGGCACATTGTAATTCCATTTGAGCGCTTCTCAAAGTTACAAATAGGACCCCGAATATGACCCAAATATCACCCATGGCATATATACTTACTGGAGATCGACACCAGCAACTATAGAGGCTAAGATCTGCAGTTGGGTAGAGTGATGCCTCCACAACAAGCAGCAATAATAACATAAAGCAGCACCAGAATCAAGCATGTTAGCAGTGCCCTGCCACAAAGAGAAGCATAAATTTAATAATGATACAAGCAGTCCAGGATATAGATCTTAAGCGCTATATTATAACCACTACCACTGGTCCCACGTTCCCATTTGGGAATAGGGAGGTGGGGATGAACACCCCAACTCTGGGACTTGGGGGAGAGGGAGAAAGCAGTATAATGTTGGTACAACTGCAGATGAATGAGAGCATTTATATCATTTGAAAGCCAAACTATTCAACCTGCATCTCACCTAGCCCAGGAACCTAGTCCAGCATAACTATTACCCGAGAATACTGTCAGTGCAGCAATTAATAAATTGAGTTGGACTTGCCATTGCAGTTTCATTCCCAACCTTAAAGATGATTACTTTCTTCTTTTGTAATAAACTGGATGCATAAATTTCAACAGTTCAGAGTTGGATAACCATCTGTCTAAATCTAGTACATTAAGTGAACATGGACATTCCTTCTGCTAACATCCCCTATCATAAATCTAATATAGAAGAAAGTTCCCAGAGTATCTACTCGGACAGCAACCAGAGAGGAAAATATTGTCAAATGCCCAACGAAGTAGTTATCATTCGACATATGAAGCACAGCCAAGTATGGCATTTTCAGGACTCTTTTGCTTGGTTCATATTGATGTGACCGCAATTACAGAGACGATCCAGACTTACATCAACTTCAGCGCAGACTCCTTATGTTGTAGAAGGTAGGGGTAGAGGTAGAGGTAGAGGTAGAGGTGATCATTTTCAGAGTGTGTCGGTTCAGAGATCGAAACCTGGAACCAGGAACCGAACTGGTTATACTTGGAACAGGCCTGGAACCAAACCGATTCGTTCAGTCTGGTTCCCGGTTCTACTTGAGAAGAGGATTTGTTTTGTAAAAATCAAACAATTGATATCATGTACTATTTTTTGTAGCCCTTGACAAGTGAAGTCTAGTTAGTTTAGTGATCTTATATGCATACTTCAAACGCAAGGTCGCGGATCATTCTTTTTGGGTGCGTCTCACTATTTATTTAATGAGGTACACAAAATCAGTTCTAAATAAGTTCAACTGTGGAACCACCCTGGTTGGTATGATCCAAATTCCAAAGTCGAATCCGCGGTTCTGACATAAGAACTGCAAACCGAATTGTATAAAGGCCAGTTTTAGGATTTCGAAACCGAGAACCGGACCAGTTCAACCTGAATTCGACTTGGATCAAAACCGACTGGGCCATTCCAACCGGTTCCCGAGTTGAACCACAAACTGTGCAAGGACACAAACAGCCTACCATCCTGCACTCAGGGCAATA